AACGCTGTTAAAAATTCTTGTAAACACGGCACGTAGTAGTAAGCAGTACAAAAGACACAATTAGGACGTTTAACTGATGCACACAAAGTACAAAATGTGCAAAAACTGCATCACAAATAAGACCAGAAAATCAATTAACTGCTAACTTGCTTTCAAAAGAAAGTGTACTAATGCTGTCACATCAGTGGGTGCTCTCCCTCAACCTCTCTCTTAACAGGGGCCTTACGGCTTCAGAGCCACCCTGCAATTTGGATACCAGACCGCCGCCGGATAAATGCCTGCGTGTTTGTCCATGAAGCAAGTCAAATGCACTTTTTCTAAGTTTGTTTGTGTCTTCTGCCCAGGGTCTAACTAAAATTCATCTGATGAGCTATGAGAAGTATAACAAAAACTCACCACTGCCTTGGCTAAGCAAAAGGATCCTGGTCAGCAGCACATTCTTTCAACACTAACTAGTCAGACACAACTACTCATACAAATATAAAATCAACATTGGCCAAAGTGGGCATAAACGAAATTGTTCGCCGCTTGCTATGTGGTATATTCAATCTTCTCTCTATGAGTTTCAACACTCTATCAAAAATTTTTATAAGAATTGCTATGTTGAGTCACAATGTTCAAGCAAAGGACAGGTTTGAGTTATTGTTTTAAAAGTGTATTGGGCAGTTCACTAGAGCTCCTGACACACATGTTGCCCATCATGAGACATAAAAACCTTTTTGCAAACAATCTTTTGATGGTACAAAACTTGAAAATGGCTTTGAAAAAAGCAAATATTTAATAAACTAAAGCTTTTTGTCTGACACTCTTCAGAGTTTAAAACGGCAGAACATAGACCGAAAACTCCACCCTAGGAATATACCCAGTTGTGGATCCAAATAAGCCAATCAGAAACACGAGCACATGACTGTTGAGGTTGACCAATCAGTGACCAATTGAGAATGTTACCGATAGAGTCCTAAGGTGAAAACGAACTCCTTTTGTCTACACAGTAGCGGTTTTTTCGTGCTAATGTAGATAGATTCCAAAACTGCTAGGTGGAACGACGATCGGGCTTTACCAATAATCCAAAACATGTCGCCATTATAGTTTTTTGCACAATCTGGGTTTTCCAGTAAATGCTGCCCGATAGCAGAATCTGCAAGACCGAGGTGGCTGTTTTCTTTGGTGGTCATCGCCAGCCATGACTATCATTGCTCTTGCAAGATGCTAGAGACGGCTGTAGTAATTGGAGTAACTGTAGTAATTGCTTATCGATTGTACCCTGGTGTAGCAGGAAATTCTATAAAGAACAATCAGCTAAAGTTTTCCATGTTTCTTATCTTTTGAAAATGAGAATCAATAAGCACAATCTTCATCGAATCATAGTTGTTCGAATACATTTCTGAAGGGATCAAGAAGGGTACCATATCCGTCCCTACAGAAAGTCCCTGTTTGTTTCATGGTCCCCTTTTCTTATTTCATAGATAAATTAGCTATGGGATCGCAACAACGGCCTAACGTAACTATTTAAAAGTCTTTGAGAAGCTTATAGAAACGCTGTCTGACGATGTTCCTATGGATGTGCTGTCGTTCTTATATCTGTTTAACATGCAGAAAACACGGAGCCAGCAATAGACGAAGTTGCGTGACCATTCTGTCTTGACAAATTTACTGACTGACTACAATTTAGGGCGTATACACATAAAACGAGGGGGCGCTACGAAATGTTGTTTATTGCGTTACGTGGATACGAAGACAATGGAAAGTGTTAATGGCAGTTATACAATAGAAGACATTTTACGGTTTGACAATGGTCAATACAAGCTTAATAACACCTCGGTCTGGACGTCAAGCTCGGGTCCTGCTGAAGCCTTCTGAGTTCTGATAAGACCCCGTTTACACTGTGCCGGATAAAATTTATCCGCATAAAACTTGTTCGGATTGATTTGCGTTTACACTGTGCCGCACAAATTTTGTCCACTTTGCCCTCCCGTTTACACTGTGCCGGATAACTGCACAGAACGCACGAAATAAATTATTCTCTGGGCAACAAAATAATAACAAAATTCCCGCCAACGTAAAAAGACTTCATTCTCTCTTCAGAATCATCTGCTTCTCTTTTAGACCAGATCCAAAAATATTGTCAATACAAATTAGGCCTAGTTTGTTTTAATAGTTTGTTCTTGAAACAAAATGACACTGAACTAGCAACGAAAGTAGGGAGAGCTGACAAGGATGCCAATTTTACGTGGACTGGCAAGATACTGAACTTTTAACACGAGTATTTATCGTCAACAAGGCCGCGAAGATGGCGAAAGGCTTTGATTGGGAGACAGTGAAAACTAAATTGGATGAAATAGCCAATTGCTTTCGAGCAAGATACGATGTGGATAAAATTTATGCGGATAAAAGTATTTACACTGTACCACATAGCTATCCGAACTAATTTAATCCACTTTCCTAGGTGAACTAATTTTGTTCGGATAGCCGCTCTTAAATTCGTGCGGATAGCGTGGGTCTAGTGTAAACGAGACGCCTATCTGAACTAATTTTGATGCGAATAGACTTTATGCGCCAAAGTGTAAACTGGGTCTAACTCGAGATTCTTAGGCCCTGTTTCCATAACTTTGTTTTCGTGTGTCTTCGTTTTGAAATTATTCCGTCTTGGCATTTTCTTGAACCTGGTGTTTTGGTATTCCTCGTCGTGCAGTGGGAGTGAGCAGGCCAATTACCAATTCACTTCATTTAGCAGCAAGTTTTATGGTAATTACAAAATGCGTCTATGATTAAACAAGACTTTTATTTTAAACATTAAGAACTTGTAGAAAAATGTACAAGAATACTTGCTTAGAACACCTGTATGGCCTAAAGATTTATTTATTAAGTAAGTAGTGCTCTTGTCTGCACGATTTTAAAAATTTTTATCAGCCGTAACAGAACAAAATTACAAAAACAATTTTTCTACATAAGCAAAATAAAAGAAGAAAAAGGAAGATACTGCAGTTCATAATTGTAGATGAGTCGGATCTCTGGAGAATGGAAAAATACCAAATGAAAATTTCTTGATTTTTGAGCGATGTCTTTTAGTACTTTGCTCAAGATTTTAAATTTTTTAAAAGCAATAACATTTTTCTAACAATGTTTGCTCACAAAAAGGAAGAGAAAACTATTTTTTAGCTAATTGAGGAACAGACAACCTTATTTGGGCGCAACGACTGTATTTCAAGTTCCAAATATTTCTTCTTATACGAAATAATTCACACTAGGCCTTCTACGAATAATATCAATCTATCAAAGCCTGTATGGGAGAGAAAGCTTTCTTCATTTCTCAGCGAGTGAATTTCTAGAAGTCGCAGAAGTTACATAACTAGTGAATGCAGGTTGAATGAATTGACTAATTAATGGAAAAAGAAGGGCCTGATTACAGCCTAGACACTCTTCTTTGCAGCAGAGGGTGTGGTCGCATCTTGATATTCCTTCAGAAAACGGGAGTTATCCTTTACCTCCAGGGGCGTCGTCAAAAGGAGATGCGGTACCCCCCCCCCCCCCCTAAAGAAAAACTTTGTCCATCGGCACATTATGGATTTTAGCCGGGCAAAAGAAGCAATATTTGTACTCTTCATGTCAGCTTTTAGCAACAATTGTAACGTATTTACATTTCTGTACTAGTTGAACTTTCAAAGTATGGCACTAGAGTATGAACTTCGAAACAGGAAAGCATAAAAGCAGCATATAGGAGTATTTATCTTTTGACCACACTTTTAACAAGTGAGACACGCCCTTTTTTCGGCAAAAACCACTTCCTCACCCCACCAACAAAATTTTTAGCTTCGCCCCTGAAGCCCTCCCCCTGTAACTACTGGTCGTTTTCAAGACAAACGTGTCAGCGATACTACTGCCAATAGACCGTAATTTTTTACGTGACCAGCTCGATATATATAGCCAGTTATTCTTTCAAATAACCTTAGTTTTTGCTCAACTCCTTAACCCTCTTGTCAGGACAAGTATCAGCTTTCCGTTTCCAATCATCATGCCTATCATGTTGTAAGGGTACTTTTTTCCTTCCTATTTGCAGCTGCTAGACATGCGTCGAATGACATGTTAGCTTCAATTGATTTGAAGTCTACTCTTCCAAAGGTGCGAACAGTAGGAGTTTTTATGTCAGTTTAAACGACCATAAGTGTTTTCAACAGCGGACACTCGGAGATTTAAACTAACTTTAACGACAATCACTGTAACTTCTGTTTACACCTAAATAAAAGAACTTTCTTCATTACTGGTACGTTCTGTGACTCCTGTGAAAGCCCAAAACAAAAGAAAAATTGGAAAGTCATCATCATATAATTACTATTTTTGTTGCTGTTCTTTTCAAGTCGAATAACTTTTATTCACTCATTAATACTAGTTACAATTTTGATTGCGTCGTGAGATTCTATTACCACTTTATTTCGAAAATATTTGATGACTTTAATTTCATAAACCTATCGACTGTGACCAAAAGTCCTATCAAAAATTGCAAGCGACTTCCTTTGACCATAAATATGTGATATGGCTAACTATTGGCATTTTCCTCCAATCAATTTCCGGACAATGGGATTAAAAGTCAGAATAAAACTGGGTATTGGCTTGCCCAGAGCTACTTCCCTTTTATTGGATAAGACCCTCCTCCATTTCTCCCCTTTTCTTCTATTTCTGCGCTCGAACTTTTGTGCCTATCGATATCTCTTAGATGAGATCATCAGTGATCTCTCGACTTCAGTTAGCTGCGAGAGATTATAGCAACATTATCAAAATTTTACATTTGAAGTTTTTGTAGAAAATGACTGGCTTCAATGTTTTTCATGTAGGGCGACCTTAGCCTTTGAATCTAAAAGAAGCTTGATTAAATATCAATTCTGAAACAGGATACCATTTCACCGGTGAAATATGAACTTGAATTTGTCCAGTCTTATACGCGAATGAGTACTCTCTCTTTAGCCACAAGAATTTCTTGAAGATTAAAGCAGAACTTTACATTTGTAACAGGTCATTCGTGCTGCACAGTCAACGCAGTCGTACATCTATCTCTTCATGTCACGCCCACACCGGTAGCGACAGCTGACTCAGGCATTAGGTTTTGCATATAAGTGAATCGCAAGCAAGTTTTCTGCAGAACATCTGGACACGACCACTCACACACGCCTGCACTGACTGAGGATTCCTTCGTTAAACAGCAAACCTACTTTTCTTAATACAAACTTGAACGCAGAAATGGCCATTCTAAGCTCAACAGTAGTCTTCTGTCTTGCAATGGGATCATTTGCAGTAATAGATGCCTTCGATTTAATGGAGCATGCAATGAAAAAAGGTTAGTCAAGTTCATCATTATTCTGTATCGTTGTTTTGAATTTTTTTTTATTAGCGGAATTCTTCAAGCCAGTTACAAGACAGCAAAATATCTAGATACAGAAGCACAATTTTGCTTTAATATATTTGATTCAATTCGACACGTTGTGTGAAGCTTGCCTGATCTCTCTGGCATTTTGCCTCGACTCTCCTTCTGATTGCTACCAAATTTTCAAGAGCATTATTTTTCTCAGTCATGTAATTCCTGAGATAAAGATGAAATAAAACCGTTTAGTTTGGTGTAACATTTTATATCGATCTTTAAGGAATTGAACCTGTGTAAATCATTGACTCCATAGAGAAGGAGAATTTTGCCTCAGAAACCTCAATTTCAATTCTACTTCATTGCTCAAAGTGGAGTTATTTTTTCAGCCAGGTTTGTAGACAGAAAACATTGAAGAGAGAAAAAACATTAAAATTTGAATTTTCAGTGGAAAATTTTCTGCTACTGCGAATAGGAGGATCATCTTAATTCCTAGTCCAATAGGATGTCTAGCCCTTCAAGTCATTGGAAACGTTTTGGTTGTAACACCATTTATTTTCTCAGATATTTCACGGCTTTTTGATCCGAATCGTGGCGAAGCAAATAAAATGAGTTGTGTTCCGATTGTTTTCTATTTCATCTCATTTCGACAGCCACTCGGAGTAGCTGCCACTCGGTGCTAAAACGGAATAAATGTTTTTCAAAGACATATAAGAAAGAATTCATCGTACAGTTTGTCAAGCAAACTGAATCTTGGAAAGTTTTAGAAAGGTTCTAAAAAGCAGATCTATTTTCCAATCTTGTTCTAACGGAATTGATTTTTCGCTGGTTTCGTCATGTATTCATTCCAAACACTCGTTAAAACTACAGGTTGAAAACTATACATTAATGTGCTGTCGACCGTGTGCTGTTCTTAGAATTTAAGCTCTACACAATGAAAACAGAATTTTCTTCACATTCTTAAACCTATAATATGAAAACGCAAACAGTTCATCTATATGTTGCATAACATAGATCTCTTCCGCGTTTCGAGGTAATCCACGAAGGCGCCGGTTGGTCCAAAGGATCATGTCCTATGTTATCGTATTATATTTAACCGAAATATTTCCAGTTGTTCTGGTAGTATGCAAAAAGTATTTACATAACTCGCTGGATATAAATGTTAGCAATACCGATTTAGATGGTACTGGTGTGAACTATGTTTAACAGCTGAAATGTATATCTGTATACCTTATTCGTTTTAATCCAATGGATATGAGAAAATCTTCAGCGTTATCTACTTGAGTATTGGACGTTCGTGTTTCATTATATGACGAGGGCTGTTTTAGTTTGAACAAAACAAATAAAAGAACGCAAACAAGTCTCAGAGATGTCTCATTACGCAAAGGTCAAAGAATAAGAAAATCTATCGTAACATGCTGCTTAACACTTCGAGTTAGGATCAGAATACTTCCATTTTCGCCAAATTGAAAAAACTTAGGAAACAGGAAATGTCTTCAGCAGCTTGTGAAACAATATTAAGTGATGAATGAAACAACTGAATACAGCCTTACTTTATGTTAATAACGAACAATACTCTACGATAGAGATTTCACTTCTGCTCTTGGAAGTGATAACAGAAGGAAAAAAGTGTCCAATCAAATTTGTAGGTTAGTCGAAATGAAATTGCTAAATGACGTTCTTGCATCCAAATGATTTAATAATACATGAAATGCTTGTTGCAGGTGATTCATATTAGCACCTCGTTAATTATTTTATTGAAATATGCGGAAATGATTTCACGTGGCCCAGTCTTGTCGCTGTTGTAGCTGGCGAGATTTCAACATAACCAAAAAAAAAAATGATTTTTGGTTGTCTCTCTATATAGCCTCAAACAAAAAAATATTTTATCTGCTGCATCGAAAATCGAAAATAACCTTTGACGGAACTCTCTCGTTTTTAACTGGAATATATCTACAGTTTTGCTTAATTACGATCTATCCCTCTTGGAATTCAGCTGCCGATTGAGCGCTTAATTGTTGCCCTGTTTGATGCCTTGCAGCGTAGATAATAAAAAAAAGATAATGGTTCTCCCTTCTATAATCTACGCTTGCACGAGCAGGTCAGCCAAAGGCCTCATGAGAAGTCCTCATGAGAAGTCCTCATGAGAAGACCACAGAAAAACCAATGTGTCATCTGTCCCTCTGTAGCAAGATCACTGACATAATCAGTGGCAGAAATTGCGGGGGTTTGCTAAATTATAGGTTTTGTCGGTAAATAATGTTACTTGTCGGCAAATTTGTTGTTTTTGTGGGCATTGCCTCCCTCACCACCTATAAAAATGAATTTTCCCCACTTGTCATAATCTAAGTTCATGGAAGAGGAACTTTTGCCATTTTCCAGAACATCGTGACTGTTATCTATTTCTATGCAAAGGTGGCCAGTGACGTCAAACTTGGCGATGTTTAAACTCTTAAGAGAGCACTGTTTATCTCAAGGTTATCAAACATTTACATGTGAATCCAAATGTTTTTCGCAGTTCTGTGTTTGGATCTTTAGAAGATCAAATAAGTCTATAAGAAGGTGCCGCTTGGGTTTGCTTGAGATGTTTTTGGTTACACTACAGGTAGAAAGTCGAAAGACCCGCGAGGGCATAGTTACCTGATCTCAGTCCTTGAGAGAAAGTTTTTTTGGGAAATACCTCCACGAAATCCTACACCGTGGTTCATTACTGTTATGAGATGTCTTCCAAAGAAAAATTAGGTATTAGGCGTGTTTGCTCTCTATATTGGAACCAGAAAGGGAAGAAACCATTTTGGCTGATACCTAAGGCTGCCGTTTGTTTCTGCATCAATGATAGGCTGGAAAATGCCCCAGATAAGATGATTATTCCGTCTCTAGATTGAGGCACCATCACGTGGGCTAGGAACCAATCTCTGTTATTTTAAGATTAAGATACTTTACAACCTGAGCCTCTAGAAAACTATGCTTTAGCTTTTAAAACAATCTAAAAAGTTCTTAATTTAGCGTTGATAGTGATTTTGAATATAGCAACGTTAGCTGTCCGAGCATTTGGTTGTTGTCGGAAATTGTTGATGTGAAAAACATTGATAATGAATGTTTAGGGCAATGAGCTTTTTTCTTTCCTGATGATAAATGGCAGGAAGCCTGCAAGGTCTAGCTAGATGCGAATTTGTCGTAATAAAAGCAGCGGTACAATTTTGCTTATGGAAAGCTGGCAAAACCTATCCACTGGTCGAAAAGCAGGTCTTGCAAAACTTTAGTTTAAGAGAAAAAGTAAATATATCTGTGGAAGATGACCGTTAAATAATTTTACGGGCATGCAATTGAAAATATTTTCTTCAGGTTTACCCTAATCCTTGGCAAATTCACAGTCTTAGAAATTGCGTTTTGCAGTAACAGATTGCACAAGTCTGGATGCTTGGGATAATCTCTTGTTTTGCTTTCCATTTGCTTCTCTAATTTTGCCCTCTTTTCAAAAGCTGCTCGACCTCAAGCGCTGCAGTTTTCTATGCGATGGCAATATGCCAACACAAGCTGCATTTTCAAGCAGAATTCTGAAATAGTGCACAATCCTTTTTTGATAAGCCTCCTACAACCTCGTATAGGAAATTCGTATAAACAACAACAAGATTGTGGCAAGTTATGGTTGCCTTGCATAATACCGCTAATTTCTAGCCGCAATGTGTTTAAAGCAAATGGTAAAGCTAAGACAAAATGAAATGAGCGGTAAAACACTGAAACCGGTTTAGCTGAATTGATGATATAAAGAATAAAGCTTTGCACTAGCTTAAAATATAATAATGTCTAGCCTAAAAAATATGTACCACTGAATGAATTGACAATCCTCTACAAGGCCTCGGAGCAAGAACTGCCTGAAATTTTGATGACGTTTTGCCTTGTTTAAGCATTGGCTCAACACATTATGGAAATTGGCTCTTAACTCTTCGTTTACTGTTCCATTGCCATCAATTCATTTACATTCATTGGCTTAAATGTTGCTTTTTACCTTGCAGTTGACACTTCTGCTCTTAATAAAGGCATTCCTGATGTTTTTCCGTGCAAGGGTCCTTCAAGATATTCACTTGATGAGGCTAATACGAAAATGCTTTGCGGTGGAAGACTATGCTTGGTACAATGCAAAACTGGTTACAAGTCGTTCACAAAGATTCCATTTGTTTATGTATGTCATGGTGACGGCTTGTGGACATCAATACCATTTAGCAAGGCTGTCGAGGGCTATTCGATCAAGTGGCCAATTTGCTTCTTTAATGATGGATTTTGAATCAGCTTGCATTTAGTAAGCATCTTTCATGTTAACGTAGTTCAATTGGCTTTCATCCTGTCTGTATAGATCGTATTCAAAATGGCACGAAATGATATAATTTACCGTTACATTGCTTACTTAATATACTTTCTTTGTGTTTAGACACACCAAGCCTTATCGAAATGCAATGCATTGCTTTTGGGGAAATGCAAGATTTTCTTTGCAAAATTTATGTAGAATTTATGTAGAATTCGGGCTTTGGAAAATTCTGAAACTCGATCACAACAAAATATAAATGTTTTTCCTCTTTCTTTCAGGATTCTCCAAATTAAAGAACATTTTAACCGTATCGAAGTAAACTTATGTAGAGATTGTAACTAAAAGGGCAAAGGCATCGTTTATGTAATTTTATTGTACATATTAACCATATTCAGTTGCAATTATCCAAACAAATTGTTAATTTTATCTGTTAAATGAGATTGTACCTAAGACACGAACACGATTGTTGGAAGTCAAGACATTTATCAATTGTTTCATCTAAAGCAAATGTTGTGTTTTATTTGGTCTCGATTCTTGAAGATGCCGTTGCCGTTAAAATAACACACACACAAAGCGTGCACGAAGCAAAAATGTGCTTTCAGATGTCATCAAATTTCAGGCCAACTGGTCCCTATATGTCAAATAATCGCCTTAATGTAGCAAGATTTTATCACTTCGCGATTCCATCCATGAAGTCATGTCGAGGGCAGTTCAGAATAATAAATGGCACGTCAGCGCATCAATCGGAGACTGTTCAGTTGAATGAACCTTTGAAGGGTAATTACATTGACTTGTTGCTGTTGTCGGATGCTGCTACTTTATTTCATATTGAATAAGTAACACAAAATGGTCAAGATTGTTATTGGCCGAATACCAAACGTCATATCTCATTTGATAATCAAGTGTATTTTGTGAGAACACCATGAACAAGTATGGACTATGCAAGGTGTCCTTGAATAAATTAAAATGGCATTTTGGTACCAAAAAATCTTGCAGATATGAAATAAAATATAATTGAATGTTATCTCCTATTTTAAAATCATAAATTTCAAAACACTACGCAGCCAATTTACTGATAGTTTTTGCAACAAAACCTGATTTGAATGTACATTAAATGCTAAAAAACATCAAAATCTAGCAATATTTGAAGCAAACAAAGTTTTCAAACTAAAAGGTTCTTACATGTGCAGGAGCTTTCGTAATGACAGCAAATTTCATGCAAAAGTATGAAATAACAAGTTAAATCAACATTGGATATGTTTTTCATGCAGGTATTATCGACTAGCTATACAGATGATATTGAAAAGATTCAACGCTTTGTCAGGAGTTTTAAAGATGACTTAAAGAACTACAATTTTCCATAAAACGTAATGAGACAAAATGAAATCTGTTTAATTTAAAAAAAGATACCCTGCCATGAATTTAAAAACTACTAGAAACTCTTAGGTTATACCGAAGTAACATGTAAGAGGAATAAATGCAAATAGGTCTGTTTGAGAAAGAGAAAATTTTGCTTTGAAAAACTTATCTCTTCACAATTTCAAAAATGTTTATTCAGAATACAAGATATAAATTCATATAAATACACCAATTCGACTTACGACCTCGTTTTGGAAATTTCTCCAAACTTAATTATACGACTTTTTTAAGTTCAGATTTGGTTTTATCGTCATAATTTGAGGCGGGATACCATTTTTCATATTGTTTGAGCTTGTATTTTAGATTTTACCGAGAAATGAAGTTTGAAAACTTGTAAGGGATTTGACCGCAAAAATCGTTTCGGGGGGAAACTTTATCTTTATGTCGTCATAAAATCAATATCGTGAGCAATATCATAATGAAAACTTACAAGTAGACTAAAATCATTGCTGTCAATCCGAATCTGAGGTCAAAAATTTTGTACAAAAGAATTTTTCAAAATGAGGCCGTAAGTCGAATTGGTGTATTGAATAAAAATTTCAGGAGTCAGACTAAGAACGGAATCAATTCTAGGCCTAGTTCGGCTACAGGTGCAAATTGTTGCAGTGTCAAATTTATCAAAAGAATAATCGATTATTTAGATAAAAGCAACGCCTAAATTATGCACAATGTCAAAGATAAATAAGATATGCGCAACATAGATTGACACTAGCTTCAAAACTAGAACTAACTTCACACACAGCTTCTATCTACAATTAGGTAACCTGTAAGATTTCGGGAAATTTACAAGCATTTCATAGCATTTCAACAAATTTCTATTATGCAATGTTTTATAACAGAGCGAACTGTTGAGAAATGCTGCAAGCATTATCAGAATTGCTGCAAGCACAAAGAAAGCATTATCAGAGACCACTTGCAGACAGCTAGAACTGTAGTTTCCCTCAACATAACATTTCTAATTTCATCTTAAAAGTCTTTGCTTAAATGCCGTGAAAAACAATCCATCGTTTTCTTGCCTTAAAATACCCTTTACTTCTGTGTTTTTTCGATTTGGAGTGTCGGCCAATGACATGTGCAGCTCTTATATCACTCTTTGGCATCACTTATTCCACCGTTAGTTACAGCAAATGTCGCCTCGTTTTCGGGTAAATCAGGACTGAAAATACAAAATATACATAGTCTTTTTGTAATGTTAGAATAGAGGCTGTACACGTATTTCGCCTATATCATATCACTTAGAAATCTACACATTCTCTCTCTAAACTGCTCTTGAATACACCCTGATGGTATGCAAATATCTTTGTCATTCAGTATTTTAGAAATTACATCTACTGTCATTTAATAATTCCAAAATTTTCTAAAAACTAAGCTTTGTATTTTCTATTTGTTGTTGTGTATCGCCACTCCAGACTCTACAATTTTTTGCGTTTACATCTGAAAATTTGTGTCGGTCCATTTTGCCTTGAAGGAGGCTTTGATATTTGACTAAACCAGCTTTTTATCAATATCTGAGTTACAAAATGCCGTTCATAGGTAACCATTATTTATTTTTGATACGATTGGACTAAGTCACATACAAATAGTTTTTCGTGCATCACTGTATCCCATCCTTCATCTAAGTAATTAGAACTTTTGTTTGTTTGGGAAAAATTTCCTCAAACATTTTCATTGAACATTTTATTTGCCAAATAGAAATGTATATGTTTGCCTTAGTGCTGTTCCTTTCCTGCCAATAACTTGCATGTTTTAATGACTTTTTCGTAAAGAGCGTGTTTTAAAGATGAAACTCTGAGTTACTACTGGAATTTCAGTTTTACTTGAGCTCTATTGTCAGCACGGTCATTATTTCATATATGATTGTGCGATTTCCCGGACACATTAAGTCTTCTTTCCGTATAAGTGAATCCTCTTTTAAACCGTTGCGTGTCAGACATTTTGTGAACATTACAAAACAATGTCTCGAAAACAGATCTAGCGATGTCCTGCTGTATAAAGGCATCTGCAATCCGCTAAATTCGGCAGCAATGTATTACCATAGTACTCAAGAAAGAATGCATGCAACGAAAGCACTACTTATCAGTGCAAAATCCATCACTTATTTTGTTGGGGACATATTAAACTGCAAAGATTAAGATCTTGCTAGATGCTGCAATTGCTAGATGTTCGTGGATTAACCAAAGATAGGCTGTTTTATTCCTTATTTATGTGGGAAATTCATAATTCTCTTATCAAGAAAACTTGAGTTTTTTATTACTTTAGTTATATTTTGCCACAGAGCAGAGTCGGCAGGATTCTATGGAAGACGTCCCGCTGACACTGTGATTACATAGCAATGCCTCCAGACTTCGTGTGTGGCAGCAGATTTTCACCGGCGCAATTAATAGATTTTGAGTAAACGTATAAGAAAAGTTTCATTTTTTTATAGACTAACGTAATTTTTTGAAGCATAGTCTCACATTATTGGTCAATTTGACTCTGTAGGGCGATTCTAACTAAATATCCTTCAAAAACGACATCTTAGTAATTTGTTAAGATACTCTTTCCTCGTTCAGTGTCAAATATGTTCAGTGTCATCAAATATACATTATGCTAAAATTGACCTCGATAAATATATCAAAGAAAAAAATAAATGCTTTACTTTCTGAAACGTCTAACTCAAGTTTCAAACATCACGTTGCTTTTATCAAGTTCATTATTGTGATATCTGGTTATTTTCAAACTCCTTTTGGCAGACAGAGAGGTTGACCTAAAGAAATGCATGACCAGTAGTAATTCGTGACAAAATTAATCTATTCATTTTTAATTTTCAATTGTGCACTTCCATGGAGTATTCACAACGGTTTAAGGCTCAAAATAGATAAGCAAATCAGATAAACTTTATATCAAAACTTTGATACTCATTTTGAAATTTTCATTTAGATAATCAGAAGTGCTTTAAATCACGCTCTTGTTAATTGCAGCATAGTTAGATATGCAAAAGATAAGAGCTGATTGTTGAGTTGGTAAGGGAAATCAGCACTTTTGCCATTTTTTACAAAGCCATGTTAATGCTATAGAAGGGAAAGCCCATTTCATACAAAAAATGTTAATTGCAAATCTAGTAAGAAAAAGCTGATCAACTTAGCAAGATGCTCAGTTTTTGAACATTGTATTAAGACTGGTCTACAGCACATACTACATAAGGTATGAAAAGCATCAGTTTAGAGGAAAACAGTTTTGCTAGTTCCTTAACAAAAATGCACTTTGCATAGAAAGGATACGTGGCTCAATTGACTTAAATTAAGAAGAAAAAAACAAGTTGAGGACCAGAATAAAAAAAAAATAAGTTTGATAGTTAAAAACACCTATGTTTTGTGTGTTTTTAATTACCAAAATAATTTATTTCATTCGTGTACTCAATTTATCTGCTAACTATATTATCGTTAAATTTAAAAAGAAGCACTGCATAATAGAAAACAAGCATAGAAACTCATAGTGAAATTTGCATACCTATCAAAGATCTTGGCAATTCTCAACTCCCCTCTTCCTTTTCTCAAGCTAATTCTTGTTGTTGATGCATGGGCCAATATATGGCCCCCAACCGGTTTTTTAGGGTCAGCTTGAAAACTAATGGGAAATATCGAATAATTATTTAATACAAATTTCTGGCTTTTTTAAAGATAAGTTCTTATATTTGTTGGCTTTTTTATTTAATCAAATTTTTATTCACTTACTTGAAAAAAATTATGCACCGTTTACCATATAATTGTAATAAAATTCAGTGAATGGCCCAGAAAAAGCACCAAACTTTCTCCAAACAATTTCACATTCTGCATTTAATGATAATTTTACATGCTGATGAATAGATTTTTCACTTATCCTCGCACATTGACCAAAGACAAACCAATTTACTTTTTATAACAATTTCTGTTTCCTGCAGTGTGAATATTTTATACAAAAAAACTCGTACCTCATTGTAGCTGCAAAGAAAAAAAAGTTGATTACTTTACAATTATGATAAATCGGATAAAAACAAAATTATTAAAATTTTAGTAACAACGTGATTAAGAGTATTTTTGTGGCATGCACATGCATGTGACATTAGGAAGGATGTATGACTTTGAGAAAGTTTTAAATCTTTTATCTATCTCAAAACTTTAAGCAATAATTTGATACGAGATTTTAACAATTTTCAAATTTGGTTATGTTTTTACTGCACAGACTTTAATTGAATATAAACGAGAAACAGTTTCTTGTGATACTAATTTTGTTTTTTCTTGTGATACTAATCTTGTTTTTAGTCTTTACTGATTTACGTGTATTTATTGTTGTTTATTCTCGGCGTATTGCGGTGTTTCATATTTGCTACATTTTTATCGACTTTTCGCCACTAGAACTCCTTGGAGCCCGTCGAGCAGCCTGCTACAGTGGCCTTTTCTTCATTCATATATAATTGAATAGATGACTTTTTAAACTGCTGCAAGTCATTTTGGCATGATGCTCGAAAAATTGTTACCAACTTGTTGAAATGAATATTTGTTTCAGCGAAATTCACCCAATCATTGCAAGACTCAAATAAGTGTTGGGGTGGATTGAGTTTTTGTCGATTCTAAAAGAAAAATGTATGTTTCAGTTTTTCAAAATTGCCTGATTCTGTTCTCTTGAACCTCTCTTTGTATCAAATAGCCTATTGCATAGGGATTCTTTTTTAGATCTTGTGACTTGAGAATACTTTTGAAGAGGATTTTGCCTATAAAAACTCTGTGGTATTAGATAAGCAAAGTCCATGTCAAATATTGCCTTTGTTTCAAAACCATGTTGAACAGTATCAAGAGCGTCTTGCAACGTGCCGAAAAAGAAATCAACAGGTAAACTGCATAATACCTCCAGGGTCAGCAGTCATCTGAAATAAAATAAACAAGTTTGTTAGATATTTGCTAGACAAATTAGTTTTTATAAACATCTATTGATGTTTTAAATTTTCCACGCTTTCTAAGCCAGGGTCAATTGTATCTAACAAATTTCAAATGCAGAACCATTTGTATTATTTAAGACCAAAATGGACTATGGAGTTTTTAATGACCTCTGTGATTGGAGCCTAGCTGTTCAAGACCATGCAAGAAGGCCATGCAGGAGAACCATGCCGGACAGTGCCTTAGCCTCTGAAACTGCGATTTTCTTAGTTATTTTCATTGCTTTAAGTAAAAATAGGTCATATAAAATCGCAAAACCTCAAAACCTCAAAAGAGCATTCTATTATAGCTAACTGTGTACTGTGTTGTAACAACAAAGATGAAGCCGGTACTGACCTGGTTAGTTATAAACACAGCAACGTTGTACTCTAAAAGAAATTAAAAACGGTCATACTTTTTATGCTGAATTGAAGATACCTTAGCAAATGTCGTTACTTGTTGATACGATGCTTAACAGAGGCCTTTGAGATCATGCTTTACTAAAATGATTAAATAAACATTCGTTCGACATGACTGCAAACTGTTTCGCCAACTGATTCTTGAAAACCATTGCTTGGTGCCAAAGCCCAAGAGAATGTAAATCATCAAGAGCTTTTTTTAAAAGTGAAGAAAAATGAATTTGAGTTGGTTTCAGAAAAAAAGGATCATTTGCTTGCAGATATGTCAAAATCACTGTTATGTCAAAATGTCAAAGTTTAAAGCTAGACCTGTCCCAAATTTTTATGTGAATTTAACTCAGGCTAGTTAGGTGATGCAAGGGAATCTACAAATACTGCGAATACCTTAAGCATAATGCTTAATGAATTCTGATGCAAAACGCTTTCCCTTAACAGGCATTTCTTAACAGCGCCATGTGCCGTAAATTCCACAGCTTTCGGCATTTCAGAATACTTTCAGAGCAGCTGCAGGATAATTGCGTCATTTGAATTTAGTGAAACAATGTTATTTCTCTGTTCCTATTGTTATTGCTCTGTGCTTACATAGATGCAAACTTTTGCTTGAATTCAAACCAAAGCAATACACGAGAAACGAAGATAAATAATATGCTAAAAACTGAATAACAGCAAAAATATAGACAATCACATATTCAGAGGTAGGTATATAAATAGATCTCACGGGTCGGGAAATCGATTATGAATGTTTTAATTTAGGTCAAAATTAGGGTACAAGGATAGTTTACAGTCTGAAGTACAGCAGCAGTGGTGAAGATTTTAATAAAAGACTAAATTAAAATTTCAGCTTTATAAAAACTCAGCTTTTTCATTAGAATTTGCTGCCAAATATTTGAAGTATCCATGATTGATTGACTTAAACTAAATTGCAGAACAGTACAGCATCAGTTTGTGTAGAAATAAAGAATAAATAAATAAATACTTTGAGCTCTAAAAGCTTGTCATCTAAGCACTGAACTAATCCAATCGAAAAACCTTTGCATATGCCAGATGAATTACCAGCCAAATTTTGTTCATCAGTCCTCTGGTTTTAATTTATTTTTCTTGATTGTCCTGCCTTGTTCCTGGTTACCGCTACTCAAAATGCACTTCATCATTCAGATTCTGGTAATGCAGAGAATGGCACGCTTGCAACTTAATTTTCTTTTGACCAATTAACTACTACGTAGCTAGTGCCAACCTGGCACTCTTAATCATGCATCCTTAATCAATGTAGGTATAATCATCCAGCAAATGAAGTGTAAAGTTTGGGTCCTCGGTATAGAACAACTTGCCTTCTGAAATCTTCTGCAGCCTTGAAAGCATCTGGGCTAACTTTTGCTGTCGATCAGCTAGCTCTCCTCGTCCACAAAAATCCACTCTAAACAGAGCCATAATTGAATCAATAATCTAGACAGCCAAAAAAAATCCAAGTTAACTTTCATTATCTTATCCAATGTAATGATAACTTGCAATTTGTATGATATTCTTATTTTCTGAAATTTTCATTTTTTGGTGTTCTCATATTCTGGTGAATTTTTATATTCTGAAATTTTGAAATTTATATTCTTATATTTTGGCATTCTAACGCTCTGATATTCTTGTATTCAGATATTGTTATATTCTCTATCCTTAGCAGTTCTGCCATGTCATATTGCCCGCTCATATTGTACCAGACTCCCAAAGTGATAAGATCAACTTTGAAATGAGTATTTAATAGCAGCTTTCTAAGAGCGCCAAATTTTTCCATTAGAATCGCTGCCAGTTCAAGTTTTCTTATCAAGCAAATCAGTTATTGTCGATAAACTTGAAAATTAAAAATTCATAGCGTAATAGCTTGAACGCACCAATAACTTGAATATTCCTGGCTCTTCATGAAACTTAGCAGCCACACAATCAAGGATCTCGTATTGATGCTCGCCTATTGAAGATACAAAGATTTTTGTAATCTTAAAGGACAGTGCAGTGACCTGCGCAGGGCTCGTCTGGGATGAACATTAGATGTACAAGACAATTTTTAGAGATAGCTTATGTTGAAACCACATTAATGAATACTCATAGCCCTAGAAATTCAGTAACGCATTATGTAACAACAACAATATGGTAATTAGTTTTTCTTGGGCAGAAATCGAATTTTTCATAGATCACGTTTGCTCCTTCACATTTCATACGATGTATGCGATAGTTTGGCGCCTTGTAAGTATCAGCTACTTGACAATTTTGAAACAAATATTCTTGTTTACAGGGAAGATAAGGCTTGATATTACACGCAACCTAATGCATAAGCTGTTAATCGTCAGCGAAAAGTGTCAGTTTTTTAAGAAGAATACCAGCTGCTTAAACAATGGTTAATTTGCTTCTCGTTTTTATGACAGATGAATCATGTCTTTGCAGCAGACGTGATCAACCTTTTTTATTCGAAAATCTAACAAAAATCTTAACAGTTTACATCTCTTTATTAAAAATGTTCGCTTTTTTCAATAAAATGTCATGGTCTTGTAATCAGCGACCAGCAAATGAATGAATCAAATAACCAAGAAGGTTTTACTATAATTCATTCATACCAATAGTGTCCACACGCTCATATAAGAAGAGAAGAAGGTAAAAATAAATTTTTATCTTTATTGTTTATCTATTGATGCTTTACTTACTTGTATATGCCCGTACATAGAGAACATTTTCCAGCATTGCATCTTGATCAAGATTAAATCTATCAGCGATTGCTCTCAATCGATCAGGACGGCTAAATCACATTAAGAACAGTAAATTCGAAAGTTTCTCTTAAAAGATGATGCAAAATATCAGGAATGCATTGCGTTTTCAATAATGAAAATTTGTAATGATTCCTGAGATCGTGAAGCATTAACAGAATACTGCTTGAAAGTTTGGCATCAAAACAAAGTTTGGTCCATGCGCATAAAAACTACGTTAATAGGATTTGAATGATAAACGAAAAGTATTTGGTGTCTTTTGGACAAATATTTATCAAGCTTCAAAACACGAGTACGCTCATGAGTGTTTAACTCACGGGCTTCAAAACACTGTTTTGCTCGTGACTGTTTGGCTCATGAGCTTCAAAACACTGTTTTGCTCATGACTATTTGGCTCACGAGCTTCAAAACACTGTTTTGCTCATGACTGTTTAGCTCACGAGCTTCAAAACACTGTTTGGCTCATGACTGTTTGGCTCACGAGCTTCAAAACACTGTTTGGCTCATGACTGTTTAGCTCACGAGCTTCAAAACACTGTTCGGCCAATTAGCACATAAGCAGTAATGAAAGGGGTTCGTTGCAACATTTAGGCTCTTCAACATGAAACTTTTTTGGCTCACGTGTATCTGTAAAGTATTGACAAATCTTAATTGAAAAAGATACAAGGTGTTCTAGAAGAAAAAGTAAGTTGTGTTATAGTTCAAAAAAGCCATTTGATAAAACAATTGCAGTCTTCTATTAAGTTCCTTGAGTGAAACAGATGATTACAATGAAATGTAATAAAGAAAAACTTCCTTAAATAGTTTTACACTATGCTACAAGCTGAGTTTCTCGATCATGCTTCAATTAAAGGGTTCGAACTTTTAAACAGTTTCAAAATCAATTTCAAAATTATTAATTTTTTTTGAAGAAATAAGGTCTGTAATACGTTTCAAGATAAAAAGTTAACAAGTGAATTGACATAAAAAATTGGTTTGCCCTTTAAGTTTTCCAACAGTTACCGAAAGTTTCCGACTTTTTTTCTTAATGTATTTCTCAGAGTGTTTTTTTCGCAAAATTCAGTTAATAAAAAAGCCAAAAAACTATATGACCTCTTAAAGAATAAAATCTTTGATACTTGATTTGTTAGAAGTGCGCCATTTCTATCAGAAGACAATAGGTTGATATTCTTACCTCTGTGTCAATGAATATTACTTTTCCTCCACCATAGCCGTTTGGGCCTGGCAACTGTGCAGTCACTGCAACAAAGGCAGATAAATAACTTGCATCTTAAAGTATTGCTCCAATTTATAAAAAGGCTGAAACAATCTGAAAAAAACTCGAAAAATTTACGGTTTGAATAAAGCCTACTTATGTGCCTTCCATTGTCAGACCTGTCGTCGTTTACTACAAGGAGTATCAAACTGCCTTGAGTCCCTAGTTTTCCCGGCTAATGCCACGAGTTTTATTATGACGGGATAGAATTTTCTGAGTTTGGGCAAAATTAAAGTCCTGATTTAAAGCATAAAGTAGAATTAAAGCAAGGCAATATTCTTTGGAAGAATGGCTGGATGCAAAGAGAAAATTCAATTACAAATTTAATATAAAGCGGAGTTCTTTGTAGGATCGTTTTTTCGACTGAACTGTTCTCTTGCCATAAAATCTTCTCTCTTTGGTACAGAATGACTTTGCAAATAACAGTGATAGCAGACTATGAAGCAGCTGTAGGCGAAACACATTCCTTGTCTTGTCCGGAATTTAATTTAAAAGACAGCATTTCATTTAGTGAAACTTTGCATAGACTTACCACAAAGGGTATGTGACAGCTGCGTTTTCCCAGTTCGGAATTCTGTTAAGAAAACGAGTTGTTATGGTTTCTCGAACTCTAAAAGAAGGAAAGTTGCTACCAACACCGAATACTTAACTTTTTTCTTTACGTCTAAACCACGAGGAATAACGACGGCCTTAATTTCAGCCCAAGAGTACTATTAGCCCTGGTTCATGAAAGGACATTGTCTAGCTAAACTAGCCAAAACCCTCTATATACTTTCCGTGTTTTCTTCTTTAAATACGTAGTAAAACTTTTTAGGAACATTTCAGAGCCAGGCTAGCAATGGACCTTCAAAATAAACATTCAAGTTGGTTTGTAATCTAACTTGTGAGATTTTTCCTCTTCATTAAGTGATAAAAAATAATGCTTAATCAAAAATCAATAACAATTACTGTTTCTACCTCCAAAAGCTTCTGTGATAGACATACTCTCAATTCCTCCTGCAACCAAATTAAAAGATGGTAAAAGATGTTTTTATGAAGCTGTTTCATGGCAAATAATTGACAGAAAATGAAAATCGAATTTATACTACAAATTACGTACTTAGTAAAACCTTTATTTATGTATTTACAACATCATGGCACAGGAGTTTTATGAATAAATTCAGCTGAAAATTAACAAAAAACTTTACTATTGAGTTTTTTCCTAACAGATACAACCTCATTTGATTATTTATAAACTTCTATCGACAATCAAGGTAGAGAAATTATCCCTAAGGAAGGTAGGGGCCCCTTGGACAAATCTCCTATTACCATGGGCATGAGAATGAGTTGATTTGGCGACTTTCAAAATGTTTACAAATAAACGCCGGAAGAAGGTAAATGATAAGTTCTCTGTAATTGACTAGAATCACACATTTAAAGAGCTTCTAAGTTTCAAGCTGAAAGAAATCGGGAAAGCTAAAATTGAAATTTCCTTAAGAAACTTAGCTAGATTGGGCTGTTGATCCGGGGAGTGCGGTTTTGAAAAAATTATTACATAACCTAAAATTTATAAACTCCCCAAAATCCTACTCCAAAATTTGGATACAATATGAAATGCATACCCTTAAATGTACTTAAAATCTGCAAAAATCTAGCAACTCAATCAAGTAAATAAAAACATATTACTGCTGAAAAACCTATAATACTTTGTGATATTTTCATTTTATATCGCAACCATAGACTTGATTACGATATACCCTCTCTCTTGATATTGAATAATAAAATTCTAAGTCGTAGGGTAGTGTCTTTTAAGTGCAATGCTAAATATAAAAATAAAACTAGATTAAGAGTTCTTACCTCCCAAAAGTTTGCTAAAAATAAACAGACGATTGTTAGTGAAAGGTTATAACTTCTATATACTAATTAATTATTGTTACAAAACCATTAGAAAAAGTCAACATGAGTTTATTTATTCGGTCAATTCTTATGCTCGATGTCTTTTACAAACTATCTTTGAAGGACTGGAAACAATTCTAGACAACCTTTTTTACCACATTCTTCAAGACAAAATGTCAGACATAAATGTCAATTAGCCCAAAATCAATAAAATCAAGGTTTTACATAACAATAACTGAAAATGTTGCTGTAGGAAACATACTCAAATTCTGTGCTTCCGGACGATATCCTGAAAACGGTTCTTCTTTTCTCACTGTACTCAAATGCAGTCAAAAAGCCTATAGCCTGTTAGGAAGATTTAATTTGTTATAACATTTTCTGCAAGAACACATCAAAATTTACGCTATAACTTTGCAGTAAAATAATGATGTTAGGTTTTAGTACCCTTTAATTTAGGAAAAAGGTACTATTATCTCATCTATAAAAGATATTAAGATAGCAAAAACAGCTTTTTTCCGCTCTTCAGATAGCCGCCATCCTCCCTCCTCACTCAAATATAAGCCCAGTTTACACTACGAAAATTAATCTAGGATAAAGTAACCGGGTCGAAACCAGTACTTTTTGTCCAAACAAAGTCGTTTTAATGGTAGGGTGGCTAGCAAACCAAAAGGGCCCGGTTCAGGGTGTGGCAGATAAACTCTTTTTAAACCACAACCCACTAATGAAAGCATAGCCTTGAATACGCTCAGTCCAAATCAATTGTTGATGGGTGCTGTACTCTTTTCTATTCAAGGATTCTATACAGATAACCTTTTCACAATAACAGCAAAATAATAGTTCTATTTGTAACTTCAAGAAAGTCTAACAACAGTTCAAAATAATAATCCTAGTTTAACACTTCTAGCAATATTGCCATGTGAGCCTAATATCTAATATTGTGAATCTGAGCCAAGAAAAAGAATTCAATCTGCTAGTTCTGTTCTTGCATGTATCATTCTTTCATTTGTCTATGTGAAAATCTTGGCTACAATTTGAAATTTAGTAAACTACAAACTTTTTTACACTAAAACCCGATTCTTCACTCTGTACCATACTTTTTAAACACGTTGTTCATTTAACAATTAGCAAACAGAAAAACTTCAATATAACTTTTTAACATGCACCCTCGACATTAAAACTTGAAAAACCTGAAGGAAAACTTTGCACTTTAGCTTTCACAGGGAGAAAATTTCGTGGGAAGAAACTTTTGCGTTTTTAGCGTTTTTGGCCTAAAATCGCGAATGTTTAATATGCAAAATTTCCTGAAATACCAAATTTGCGAAAGTTTATTTGTCTGAAATATCCAGAAAATTTGCTGCTGATCATATTAGGAACCTTGATGGCGAATGATTGTTTTGAACAAATTTTGATGTTGTTTTGTTGGTATCATTGTTTTTGCTAAAACGCCAAATTTTGTTCTTGCGAAAGGTTCTATTTCGCTTCTTTCGCTAAAGTTGATTCCAAAAATTTAGTGCTTTTCTGGAGTCGAGAGGCTTTCTTTCTGCGAAACTTTCTTCCCTTATGATATGACCCTTGGGCACGTCTGATTACGTATGAAAGGTCATTATTAGCTAGAAATGTAACAATGGCGACTCCAGACAACTACTTAAAGCAGCAGTTCTACTTCCTTCCAGAAAACTATTATCATCTGCAGTTTCAGTTTATTTCTCTAGAAAGTATGACAGACTTGTAGTTCTCTAGTAAGTAAGATAGACTTGTTTTTGTGCGATATTTGAAATAGATTGTCTGTATAGTGGATGTTGGTCATGGTGGGATCCTGTGGCCTGCGCGCAGACTTAATTTTTTTCGCGTTGTAGTGAAGCCAGCGTCCTTGGCCTTGGCAGTGACTGTAATATCTCAGTTTATTAAAATTATCTTGTTCAACCTTTGCAGAAAGGGCTCGTTTTTTACATGTCTGATGGCCCAGGTGGCAATCGCCACTTTACCACCCGGCCATACCGTTCCTGTGTCCAAGTAGAGCTTGAATCCAGATTGGGGGGCGACCAAGGTTAGCGTGGGAATGCATGCACTGGTGTCACGATGTAGGTGAATTTAAAATTGCGGGCCTTAGCCTGGGAATGTTTTTGCTCAAAATATTACAAGGCTCACCATATCTTTGTGGTGTGTAAAAGAGAAGAGTGCTTAAACACGTTACCTAACAGGAGCTTGGTCTGTTGAAAGGTCATCGTCTTGAAGGGAGACACAATAAGAAACACTTCACGATTAATGGGTACTGCCAAATCATTATCACTTTTCCTTGCCTTTGCTGATCTGCTCGAGTCCTATTCTTAAAAGCAGCGCAAGTTAGCTCTTCGCATAGTAGCGGAGAATCTTGCCATACTCATCATACGATTTCCTTCTATAGAACACTATTATTTCATTTCTAATCTGTTGCATATCTTTTTTATTGCTTGTGGTTTCGTTGTGTGAGGTCTGTTGATGCGTGCGCATCAAACATTTTCGTCACTTTCTCAAACACCCGATCTATACTTTTGGAACATCTTTGATTCAAATTTTTCCTATTTACAATTCCACCTATACCCCTTATGAGGAAATCTTCTCATTCCTCAGCATGCTTCTCCTCGTTCCTTTTCCCACTCATCTTCATATTTTGACGTTGTCTTGTGCTTGACGTGTTAACTTCTTTTTTAGAATGGCATTGGCCACATGGTCGAGTTCAAAACTATAACACGGGCTCGGTCTCAATTTGCGCTAACCCCTAGAGTTAAATTGGTTAAACCGGATTAAAACCAGGCCTTAGTTGCCGCCACACTGCGCAGATTGTGTCTCGACAAAATCTTGTTCGCGCGACAACTTCATTTCAGGGAATAGGTAGGCAACTTAACGATTGGTGGACCAGGGGCAAACCAGACGCTGAAGATTTCGCGGTGTGAATCTGGCAAACAAGACCAGTATAAAAGTTTTTTTGCGATTGCTAAAGCATAATTTGTTCATGAAAGAAAGCACTCGAACAAATATTTTTTTTCTCTTTACCAAAGAGCCTCGTGCGGGGCGTGAGGGACTAGAGTGTTGGTTTTAAGGCCAGTCTAATTGCTCTCGCCGGATCAGTACGTCAACAAAAGTCCATTGAACTTTATTCACAGACCATATCTATCGTCACTTGAGCTCTGATGTTAACTAGGTCACATTAAGCCTCACAGAAATAAGAGCCCCTTTTGCCTTTTTAGCAAAACTTTAACCAATATGATACGCACAACACCTCTGGAACTAGCTTTCACACCATATTATACAAATAGCATACCAACTTTCTTGCAAGTCTTATGTTTTTAAAAAAGCGCTTATCTTGTCCATTTAACCGTGATGCAATAACAAAATACATCTTGATTTCGTTGCCTTTACTTGCTGGAAAAAGGAAGTACGAAGCATCTAAGAAAATCTTACAGAGGACTTCTTGGCCACGCTTATCTTTTAATTTTTCAACTTTTGCCTCCTGATATCCCTTTGCGCTATTATTAGTCTTTCCTTTTTGTGTCATTTGCAGGCCCTATTGAAAAATTCAAGATCAGAGTGTTATTTTAATAAGTCATGTTGTTTTAAAACAAAGAAATAATACATCGAGAAAAGGGTCCTTGCAGGAAATCCATATTTTCGTTCTTGATTTTTAGTCTGATGCCAAAATCTAAACTCAAGAACCAGCTTTTTCAACCCAAAAAGTTCGAATCAGCTTTGATGTTGTTATAAATCAGCTTCGATGTTGTTAAATATATGGATGCTAGCCTAAGAGCCCATAATTCGCGTTCTATATGCTACCAGTTGAGGCGTTTTGTCAAACATTAGACTGCTCAATTTGTGCGTGCCGCAAATATTTTAATAACTTTAGCTTTGGTGCCTCTTTGACTCTGACTGGACCCCTCTTTAAGCCATAATGGATTACCCCCTCCCCCCCTACCCCGCGGACTTTCCAAACTGCAGAGACAACATGTAAGAAGCCTTTGCACTAAATCAACGAATATTTCCCTTCTGATCTGCTCCTGAAATGACAGGTAAATGATTTATATTTACCTTTATATTGCATTATTCCAGCAATGACTTGAGCTTTTTCAAATTCTGCGACCTATACTCGTTGACAAAATGAAGAATGTTATATAATTAACTCTAATAATATAATGATAATGACATTAATTATGATAATAATAATATAATAGTAATAACAACAATAACTAATAAATGATAATTAAATATAAATAATATCAATAATAAAATAATTGAACGTCGTTTCTCTATGTTATTTTCAGAATTTATATCATCATTTTCTTTTGAAGTGAGGTTGTGGTTCTTTGCATCACTAAGCAAAGCAGTGATTTGTTATCGCTGACACATCATTACGGGGGGTCGTGCCGACATAGGGCTGAAGGAAAGTCCCCTCTACCCATGATGACAGAATAGCCCCGCCGGAATCGCCACAACACCGAGATATATTCTCGGCGCTCGAGCGTGTGAAAGATGCCTAACAAGTAGATAAGATACCTTTGCATCAAGGGTGACCTCTGGCGGTTGATAGTTGGCAATAAGGTGTGAGAACTCTCATTCTGGCGCGCGACTCAGCACATCCACATCTACCGGATGCCTTAAGTTTGTTACACTACCTCCCTAAAACAAAAACATTAAAAAAAACTAACAAAACAAAAAAACTATCTAAATAATACAACATTCATTTTAAGTTTCGGTGACCATAACCGCAGCCTGAGGCATACTTAATTAAAGCGACGATATAATTAACAATAAAACCCTCTTTTAAATACAATTCTAAGAACCTAAGAATATTTATCATATCTTTATTTTCATTTTGCCTAGAAGTTCATCAAACAGAGGGGAATCAGTAGTCGTCTGTATACAATTCGCCAATAAACCATCTCATCATATCATAGCTAGAAACTAAAAAAAACGAAGAGAGCTACCAAACGAGATCCACGGAGCTCTTTAAGTCTTACAACCATTCCTCTTCATCTGGTATAGTACAATCAAATAAAGAAAGTGCAGCTTGCACTTGGGTTATCTTTATAAAAACTCCCATGAAATTTTTACAGCGTGGATGCAAAGCATAAATTTAATTTTTCTCATTCATAACTCACGCACTATACGTGTATTATTTTCGGTCAGTTCTAACATCTAAATGATGTCCATACCAAACTCCCCTGATTGAAATATCTTTTCAGACTTTTTTAGAAACGATATGAAACTTTGCAAGCCCGAAGGAAATAATAAAAAGGCTTTCAAAGAAATAATGTTTCGTAAAGCAGCGCCACTTTTAATAGAAATATTGTATTTTACTCAAACTTTTCAAGCCTAAATCAATCAAATAGAGTAGGCACCTCAAATCAATTTGGATACTTGCCCAATTAATTGCGCAAAATTTAGATTGTACCTTGACTTCACGCGCAAAATAGCCAGCGGCGCTCATGAGCGTCTAAAGATTAGGACAGCTCCCTAACAAGCGGTAGAGTATTCATTTTTTAATGGTGTGATCGATTCCAATATACTAGGTCGCACCACTTTAAACATGGAATTGAAAGTTTAAAAAAATAATGGATCTATGCCGAGATTAATCTCAATTATGATCGGAGTTTTGGCAAAGGCCGTACTATTCTGCACTGTCCTACAGTAATCATCTGGTAGTAACTCGGAATGGTCGATTTGCAGACCAGAACCGAATCCTTTGCTTTTCTCTACGTAGAGTTTCTTTTCAGCTGACGCTAAGTAAAATTGCACAATTGCGTTTGATTTTAGACATTGATGTGGCTGCGGTGATCTCATTCGAATTACAGTGAAACGTTAATACGGCCACCAACGGGCCACCAAAAATTGGCCGTATTAACGGGGTGGCCGTATTAACGAGGAAGGGTCAAATTTTGGAGTTTAAGGGGTAGAAATTAAAAATAACATCCTAAGGAACTTTTTTTAATAAACATCTGGAAATGTAGATAAAGTTATAAAAAGATATGTTAAATAACTAGTCCACAAGCAAGCAAAACGAATAGGAAGTCCTGGGTTCTTGGGCCTTAATCACCAAATCATGTTCATGATTTTGCAAAAAATTTGGTGACTTTTGACTGGCTCGTTCTGCGTTCTAGCAAATCACTTTAAGTGGGGCAATCACACCTGAAAGCAAGCGACTTTGATAATAAAAAGTTATTTTATAAAATGAGTGAGATTATTGTGATTTTACTACAGTTTTGCTAAATACAAATGACCGTATTAACTGTGTGGAATTATAAAGAATCCTGCTGTTTGGGATCACAAAATGTGGCTCTGGTCGTACTAACGGGAGGCCGCATTAAGGGGTTTTTTATGAGACTATGAATGGCCGTTTTTCCGGACCAAACAAATGTGGTCGTAATAACGAGGTAGCCGTATTAACGAAGTGGCCGTAAGGCGGGGTTCCACTGTACATTTGCTGTTGAAAGTCTTACATCATGCTCACTCACATATTGTCAATAATGATGTATAGTTTAATCTTTTTCCGTTAACAGTTTTGCTTCTAGGGAGATACATCATTCGATGCTCAAGAATATGGCGATTCCAACCATATCAAAATAATTGGCAAATATTGTAAAATGATACTTTCCAAGAAAATTGATTGCTTAAATGAGTGTAACACCTTCAAAAGCTATTTTGTACCCTTGCGTTTGAGATAACAAAATCTGACTTCTGACTATCTGACTATCAGCAGAAAGCGCAAATCCTTAGCTACCAAAGTTTGTCTCAGATTTTTCAATTTCCTCCTCCCTTAAAACTATACCCTGTCAAAAATTGGCAAACAATTTTTCTTTCCTCTCATAGTTGTATTTGGCTATAAAAGACGGACCAGAGCAAATATAAAAATTTTGAGACACACTTGGCTTCCCGACATCTGTCCGTGGCGTGTGCAAAGTTTTGAGCCATTCGATTGGTTACTTGGATGCAAAATAGCTCCTTCGTTTACATTGAATTTTTTCTATTCTTAAAATTTCTGTTTAATTTAAATTTGGTGTTATTGTGTGCCTTAAAAGTTCGGCTACTTCAACGTGAAAAAATTGAAAAATGGATGTTTTCATCCAGAAAACGCATACTGTAACCTTAAAGTAAGTAAAAGTTCTTTAATATCTTCAAAATCCTGTTACTCAGATTTTTTTGTTCTCCAGAAGTTATCTTCTTGGTTTTACCTTTTCTATCCATTATGGTAAGATTTCATTAAAGTTATTAAATATTCTAGGGTTTGGGAAGAAAGAAAAAGAAATGATTTCCACACATTTACATTGGGTGGTAGGGCCAAACCCTAATGAAAAACAAGGCTGTGTATGGACTATAGAACCGGGGCAATTTGGATCCCCTCGCTTGAGGGGAGAACACAAGGTTTCAATTGTCACCTCATGACTAATTTGAGTTCTTTCTTCCTGGGAGAAAATAGTGAAATTGACATCTGGCTGGAAATAACCTGAAAAGGGTCTGCTCATTCCCCCCGACATCTTTGATCACAGGTATGGCGTCCACTCAGAAATTTTTCTATAATAATATTGCTTCGGCTCAGATCTACTACCTGCTACATGAATTGAATTGGTGAGCATATTGTGACTGACCACATGGGTCCTTTAATGAAAAATCTATGTCTACGTCAGGAAAGGGGGAGGGAAGGTATGGCAGCCAAAAACAGGTTCTGAAGAATAGGGGATCAATACAGTCGAGTCATAGGTAGTCGGTTTTTATGCATTAATAACCAGGGGCGGACTGGCCGGTCCGCCTTCCGAGCGATCGCCCGGTTGGCCCTTCCAAAATTATTACAATTTTTTCTTAATTTTGCTATTAAATTCGGTAGGGGCCCTCTCCTGCTGCCATAACACCGAAACTCTCTCAAGATTAGCGGATACAGAATGAATAAAAAGATCACTTTGCGGTATTTAAGTACTGAAAAAGCATTTTCCTAAATTTGGGGCCCCATGTAAGCAAGGAGAATCCTGGGCCCAGGGCTCACTGTCCCTAATGCAATAATACGATACTTAACTGGAAGTTCCAAAATCTGATAAATTTTCTCTTCGGGCTCTCAGTTTACATGTTTTCACTCATTCATAGGTTAAGGTGGTAAGGACATGAAAATTTTTGTGACTAAATTTTCTAGGAAGGTACATTATTTTAATGCAAACCAAATAGATTTGAGAGTATAGATCAAAACAGCAGAAGGGCTCAACACCCTCGGCTCTGACAAAATTTTTGCTCTAGTACATCCATACTTTATTTCAGTATAAAACATGAATGATTCACCAAAGATCTCAGGCATAAAACATCGGTACTTACTTCAAATTTTGGTGTATTTCTTCGGCAAAATTTTGGCATAATTCCATTGGCGTGGGCTGACTGTGCTAGTTTTTAATACGATAATTTGCTGACGTGGCGAAAACCATGCGAGATTTGTCCTCACGAACTTTGCAAAATAACAGGCCCGTAGACACTGGGGGCACGGGGCAATGCCTCCAATAATTTGTGAAAATTTTGTTTGAAGATCTTATAAGCGCAGTATTTCTTAAGGCAGGTAAAGGAAGAGCTATATTTTTATCCATACCCCCCAATCCAGTTTAGCAGTCAACGACCCTGCATAAAAATGAATAAGTTTTAAATGTCTCCCATTCTAAACTAAACAAGGAAAAGAAACGAGACACAACTGGAAGATGTATTACAAGCGTTATGCTCATAGAAATGTAGACATGAATCGATATCTAAACATAGAAATGAATGACTCGTTACTTTTGAAATGCTCTTACTGAGAACATTTATTTACTTTAAAGACAGGGTTTTTTATAATTGCATTTAGAAATTTGTTCAAAGTTATGTGTGTCGGAACTGCTGGGCTTGTCGCTAACAGTTGAAAACAAGATCTTGGCTCTTTGGTAATAGGAAACTATTAGGGGATGGGGAATTATTGTAAACGAAAGCTTACATGTATTGCCCAGGATCGTCCTTTTGACAAACTTGATGTGGCAAATATTCTAGATGCATTTCTGGCCATCTCTATAATGTCATATTTCGAAAATTGTTCTTGAATTCGGTCAGAATGGTGGTGGCCTTTATTTAACCCCTGAACAATCTAAACATTTCACCTCCTCCCATACTTCATTAACGTTTCGCAAGCTCTGCCTATGTTACTGATGTTACCATCTTGGTTGCTGCGCAAACAATCCATTAACCTGGCTGCTCAACCAATGATTGGAAAAACATCAACCCCTATTATGTTTTGACTGGAAAATTACATATCAAGATTTTTTTGAATAACTTAGATATTTCTTGAATAAATTAGATTTTTCATTAAGTTTTACCCTGGGTATCAGAGCCTCAGTGATCGAAAAAGGTGACCCCTCTAAATACCATTCGCCGTTTTTGATTACTGAGGGCCCCCTTTAAGAGTCCTTCAGCTAGAAAATAATAATTTTTCCCCCTCAATATCAAGATTTTCTCTCATCTCTTATCCTACGTCAGAATTAAATTTCCAGTGAAAATGATGCTGACCTGGACTAAGAATTGTTGATCCCCCTTGTAAGTTTTTTTACACCTACGCCTACATCCCTGGTGGTTACTTATTAGAATTAATAGCAATATTCCAATAACGTTTTAAGCTAGTTTAAAAAAGTGATGCAACAAACAACTTTGGAGATACCCGTGAACTTATTTTTGATTTTTGGGGCCCTTTCCCGACGAATTGGCCCGGGCCCTAAACTTGGAGCCAGTCCGCCCTGTTAACAACCAACTTTGAAGAGTCCCAAACACTTTTGTGCTCTAAATAAAAACAGCCAGAATATATTGACTGGTCCAGTTATGGCATTTAACAAGCCCGTCACACTGTGCGAAGTAAGCAGTGTTTTTGAACTTGCAAGTATCCGTCATGAGACATATTTTATGTAGAAAATGAGTTTCGATATTGCAACCTTAGCTAGCATGGATAAAGGCAGGAATGCCAAAGCGAATAAAAACCAGGGAGACTTAAATTGGTATTCCACATGTTTTGGGTCAAGGTTGCAAAGATATATCATACCTAAAAGGCATGGTTTCTTCTTACTTTATAAGCATGTCCTATCTCCAAGAAGCTCATGAAAGACTCCAATTAAGAACCTCTGGAGATATAGAAGCAACTCGTCAAGGGATTAATAGAGCTTTTCCAGAGTTTTTGCTAGTATAAGACCTTGCTAATATAAAATTTGGTCACTTTACATTTTCTGCTTTGTTTCTTAGTATATTTCTAGTCGCTTTTTCCTTTACTAAGCATGACGAAACCTGAACTGCTTAATCTGAAGAATTGACAAACATATAATGCTATGTCAGAGTTTTTGTTTTGTTGCCAACAAAGGCAGATAATCAAGGTTTAAATAGCATGGGGCTCAGTCATCAGTTCCACAAGGGATAGCTGGGAGAAGCAAGAACCTTAAAGGCCACTGACGTACGAACGGCTGGTTTGCCTATGATTATGATATGCAAAGTGAAACACCAAGTCCAGTAGTGTGCAAACATATAATACGCAAAAGTAAATGAATAGACCTGTATAAGCTACAGAAACTGCACAAAAATGAGTTAGAAACGGTTTCCAGAAAGGTTCAGTGGTAAGGCGAAAAAAGTGGGTACGTTTACCGACCAACCGATAAATTTTTCGACAAAATATAAACCACAAAAATTGTGATTTTTGGCTGCCGAGACTGATCTCTTTCTGATGTTTTGCGAGTCAAGAAGAATCATGCTCTAATGAAAATGTTCCGAAGATTTGTAATTGCCAGAAAAACCACCGAAGGGAACTTTGGGTTTTATACAAGACCGGGAAAGGGTTGTAGTTTTGCTGCTCAATGGACTCCTACGAATAGAATGAGCGAGGTCTATAACGGAAAAATGGTGCAAATTGGCAGAGACACAAACACATAAATTTTTTATATGCTAATGCAATAAGGATGTTATTAAGGTTACCAGCTGCAACCCAGGGTTTATTTTAAGAAATTTTTATCACTGCACAAATCAGTGTAAAAAGATAATTCTGGGGCCAAAAATGAGCTCGACATCAAATATCGTTTCACTTCCAGGCTTTCAGGAATAAAATATTTGTATAAAATGACCTCATCTTGTTTAAAAAGAGTCTTTTTGGGCTTGGGTATCAATTGATTATACAAGTAAAATCGTTTTCCAAGGGCATCGCAGGGTAGACTTTCTTGGGGGGGGGGGGGTGGACTACGAATTCACCCAATCAAAAAATAATATATCTGAAATTCTTCAATTGCTGACACAAACCTCCGAAATCAATTTTTCAATCTAACTGTGTGGCATGTAATAACAGACCTTACAACCATTTAGAGCGGCATCTCGGAAGAAGCACAGGATGTTGTTACTACCAGAGGCGGCACCATGGTTGCGACCGAAGAAAAGGGAAATTTTTCGAATCTTGATGCTCCCAAATCGCTGGGAAATTCACTCTTTGAAGCAGTGTTTACTAATGCAACCTTACTCTTACATGAATATCCATAGCTTGAAAGCTACCTTATACTGTAATGGTTATAAAAACATCAGTAACGTATAAGATTAAAAACTGCTGTTTGGTTTGTTAATTATGTGGCCTACACCTAAAGTAGTCGTACACTTTTGGCCTTACACGATAGAAAACATTTACAGACTGTCTTTTTGTGTTGCTGTTCACTGCTGTTGGCAAAAGGTAATTATCATAAGGATAAATATTCTCGAGAATTCAGTCATTTAGTTTTTTAATTCAGTCATTTATTTTTGTCACTGTCATTTATCCAGGTTTCTTGACATGTTGCGCTCATTTGTTAAAAAAGAAAATAATGAATTTAGGGCTATAGTCCATTCTGCCAGTTGTTATTAACTGGTTGGCTTAAGGACCCAATGAAATTGGGATTAAGGTTATTCCGATACTGATCATTCAAATAGTTTGCAGTTTCGAAAGGAAAAAATGTGTCTTTCGTCACTTAAAAAACTTCCTTTATCATTGCTTAAATTGGTCATCACTGCACGCTAACTTTCTCCTAGTTGAAACCTGAAATAACCCCATGATATTTCTTTCATAGTTTTCCTTTTTTTGTATGTTTCAATTAGTGCAACGGGATTTTTTCACCGAATTTTCGATGTTACATGACCACTTTCGGATAATTGCGGATAATTATGAGCAGAAATGAAAGTCAAAGTGTATGTAAATTACTTACAATGCCATGGCTCTGAAGTACATCAATGTCTTGAAAGAAATCCTTGAATTTGAAAGTAGAAAGCTTTGTGAGTTAATTTCGCATTTACAGGCACATAAAAAACAGTTAAAGTAAACTTTTTGCAAAGACACATAAATGCTTCAGATGAAAACTCCCTGCGAATCCTATTCATTGATCTGCCATGAATAATATAAAACTAAATCAATTTTAGGCATGATTTAATAAAATAATTTCAAAGGTACCCTTGCATGAATTTGTTTTAGTGAAAAATCAAGGATCAGGCCCAAAGCCATTTTGAAAAAACGTAAGCTGATCAAACTTACTTCGTCATCTTCTCCTTCAAATGCTTCCTCTGCGTCGGCATTTACAACTTGATCCAAACTAGCCATTTCAAGTTTTTGAAGGAATTTGAAGAATACTTATTAGAAACGTTCCCTGAAAGAAAATCCACCAATAGACTTTGACATTTGGGGGATGAAAAAGCGAAATAAAATTTGCTTATTTGACTTAACATCTTATCTCCTGGAATATTATAAGTTTCAAAGAGACATTGATAAAATTTTTTTAGCTTTGTCTATGCTAACAAATACTAAGAAACATACCCGTTGAAGAAAGAGTAACTTTACTGGATTTAGAACGTCTTTCTTTGTTCGCAGGTAGCTTGAAATAGTGTAAATCTGGCGTCAGCTGCAGTTTGGCGGGAAATTAGGTCACTAGAGCCCAGTCTCTACCCGGAAGTCATATGAATGACGAAATTCAATTCTCACTGATACATCAAAATCAAACTCACAGTAGAGCAGTAGCCTATATCTTTTAGTATGCAAGGTTAACTACAATATAAGAATTTAATAAGTAGAAAAATGTCATCCGATATACTAGCTTACTCTAACAAGTGAAGATAGCACAACATAATAATAGCCAAATATTTGCTTATTAGCTTGATAATTCAGTATCTTAACTAATTAAATGAAGGTGATTTTGTTGAGAAAATTGTTAAAAAGAGTGATTTTTCCAGTTACGATTCCTTTGAGTTTCATTTGAGATTTACAATTTCTATGCTGGGAGAGTGCAAAGAGATACTTTGAAATTTAAACAAGAAATTTAAACAAGAGATTAAGCAAGAGAGAGTCAAATTTCAGTTTTATGCATGTATATTTCAGAGATGAAAGCAAATTGCAAGACTGGTATCAATCAAACGCAATAAAAAATAGAAGCTTTTCATCAAACTGCAAGGAATACATTTTCAGCTGAAATTAGATACAAGGATAGATGCATTTTACGTTTGCACGAATATAATATACAGATTTTCACTTAGTAAATAAACTCTAAGGAATATCAAATGAAAAGGTCCTTTCAGTATGAACATTGCTTCTACATTAAAATCTACCGTTTTGTGCTAACGAATTGATGATTGTTGGAGTATTTACTTTACCAGGCCAATAGATAGACAGGAGACTTGCGTCTTGTGCTTGGGTGTTTCCAGAGCAGCGAGTCAAAATATCAAGATGATCTTAGAAGTATCGACAAACCTAACAAACGAAGACATTTTTCCTGTGTAACTCACTGAAGAGTAGAGAAAACTTAAAACCCTTTTAAAACGTTTGGTAATATCCCTTTGATAGAGACCCTTTTGAAACTTTTTTAATTAATTGATTAAAAGTTGGCTTTTAGGCTATTTACTATAGCCAGAACAAGAGCCAATATTGGCCAACTATTTACAAAGTGTATATGCAGTATAAAAAAATACATTATAGTTTGCAAAGCCCTAACCCATTTATAAAAGTTTAACACATCCTACTGTTGTAATCAGTGGCGTAGTTAGAGGAGGGTCAGGGGGGAGGGGCCAAAGACACACCTGTAAAGCTAAACAGCTTTTTTTCCGGGAAATTTCTGATCTTGTTAGAAATATAACATGGTTTTCTTCTTTTATTCAAGTATAACATTTTGAGAGGACAGTCTTCAAAGGTAATTATAACGGTTTCTTCAGTTGTTCAGAATCAGATGGGCATCTTAACAATCCCTTTGCGAAGAGAAGACCATTCAATAAGTATGATTTATGACACGTGACTTTGAACAAATAATTAGAGTTTAACTCCTGTTTTATTTCTATTCTAATGTCATTCTGTTATGTTCTGAATATGTGTCACAACTTTTTGGAATCTGTGTCAAATGCTAACAAATATGGTACACGGCAAGCCACAAAAGCGACAACAGACAAAAATTTGCAATCCGGTATCAGATCTGTGCGTTTTCTTGACAAATCATTGTCTGTTGTCTGTTTTTGTCAAAAGTTAAAAACCTTTTTATTCGACAAGAACTATCAAATTTGATTCTGAGGCGAAATTTATTGTTCTGTCACTCATGTAAATGATCAATTACATTAAAAACCACCTTAGAAAAAGAGGTGCTCTCTCCTCGATTAGTTCATCTACTGAGAGAGCTCCTCCTAAATAAACATCTTACGTAATTGTTATTTATTGGCTGTAATTATAAGCATTTATGTGATGTGTGAACATTGTATGTAATTAGTTGAAATGTTGTTGTCGTAACATATTATATGTAGAAGAGTTTTAAGATATAAAGAACTTAACTGAACTGAATAGAACTGAAATATGTCCAAATGTATGAAAAAATTAAAAATGTTTGTTAGATATTTGGACCTGAAGATTAACAAACTTGAACACCAGCAAAAGTGAATATATGGTTATAGGCCATGGGCGACAACTAAACAAAGTAGGTAATGATTTGCCAGACCTTGTCCTTGATAATGAAGTAATCAAAAGGGTTGACAAAACAAAATGCTTGGGGATCAACATCGACCAAAGCCTAACAACATCCTTCCGCAAAGAAAACTTGATCAAGTTTACAAAGCTCTCTTTAAAAGCCATCTTCACTATGGCAACATTGCTTGGGATGCCCTCTCCAACACCAAACTATCCCAACTGCAACGTTTACAGACAAGGGCAAAGAGGCTAATAGCTAATGCCAAGTATAAGGGCGGATGGACTTGCAAATGGCTCATTGTAAACTCCTCGATCTCCTTTGACCAAGGAGTCATGACATATAGAATCTTGCATGACCTCTGTCCCGAAAATTTTCGCCATAAATTCACTGAAAGGTTCATGATTTCAGAGTTTAGAACCAGAAACCGCGGAGACCTGCAAATTCCCAAAGTTAGGTTAGAGTATACAAAGCGAGGTTTCTATTTCTCTGGTGTCAAAACTGGAATGATATCCCTAACAACATTCGAGAAAAAGAATCCATCGCTCGTTTTAAGACAGGTTTTAGAGAGTATCTTGCGAACCTTTACAGGACTACCCTGGGTGCCAGAGCCTCAGAGAGTCAATGGATGAAGAACGGAGGAAGGAGTTGCGTTACATTCTCTTCCATTCTCCTTCGCATTTCCTTGCCCCCGTTTTTTGGCTCTACGAGGCTCTGGCACCCAGGGTACCACAGGACCCAAACACAGCCCCTTGGTAGAGCAGCAATTTGCATTATTTTATTTTATGTATTTATTTTTATTGTTATTTATTGTTTTTTCTTTTATTATTGTTAAACAAATATTGCAAATAGTTCTTTTTTGCAGAAAGGTATCTCGTGTAAAACGGAATATATATTGATATTGACCTTACTGAATTTGTTCCATAGTAATTGTTCCATTGCAAATTTCAACTTCAACCTGCTGGCGAATCTAGCCTTAAAAATCTTTGGGGCGGGGGGCTAGCCGGGGGCCAGCTTTCAGTTATAGGAGCCAACGCTAGTTATTACTTTGTGTACTAGTAGAATGTAAAGCAGTGGCGTGGTGGCCAAAAATTAGCTACAAGGCAGCCATTTTTAGCACCCCCTAGATAAGTATGTACTTGGTAGAGCTCTATCAAGGCTCTTATCATTATGCTAAATAGTTTATTAGTGGCGTAACGAGAAGCTGCGTCCACTAGGAAAAAGAACAAAGACAAATTGTTGCTGGGGGCTCTTAAAGGTTCAGGACCCTTTGTTATTCAACTAAAGTTTATTTTGGTCCGTTACACCACTGAATTTTATCAATATAACAATAATGCATGAATAGACAGGAATATCATTACAACAATCTAACCAAATTAGATAGACAGGGAAATTATTACAACAATCTAACCAAGCGCCTAACCTTAAATCTCTCATGACATTTTGACTATTTAGTGTATAAAGAGTACTTTCAGACTTTTTGAAACATTTTTGTAACTCCCAAGGGGGCTGGTAAATGAGGACGTCATCAGAATGGTTGTTTAACGATATTTTTAGGTGAATAATCCATCACAAAACCAAATAGTCTTAAATTTCTCAATGAATTTTAGCTATTTAGAACATACGAAGTACATTAAGCCCTAAGAATTTTTTTACCTGTGTAGGGGATCGTAAATGATGACATCATCAGTATATTAGTTTTGTTGGCTCAGGGGAGGAGAGCCGAGAACCCTTTCTTCTTTTTGCTATTTTTCTTTGAGAATTATTTCGCAAGGGACACTTGTTCATTTCATAGCAATACCTCTCTGGATGCAAGGCTTTGCAAGGAAGGAGAAACTAAACCAATCGAGTTCACATTCTCTAGTCTCTATCAATTTTTAAAATTTAGTAATTAGCCAGTCTTTTTCTTATATTAAAGGTAGATTTTAAAACTTTGAAGTAGTTTTGGATTTGAAAGGCTGCACTGTGGATTAAAAATTCTGTTTTGAATCATTCTTTGATTTATCAACTACTTCTAGATGTTCCAGTATTTCTTACAAATTTTGTTTCTTCTGGTTCATTGTGCTTTCTTTTATCACAATTTTTATCTACCTGTACTGTATATTACTTCTTTTTACTTGTCTGTGGATGAGTTTATGTTTTCTTCTTAAGCCTTATTCAGATAATTCTTCACTTTTCCTTTTATTATTTCCTTGTCTACCATTGCTTTTGCACCTTTTGCATGCTTTTACAACCCTAGACCATTTTTATTGAACAACTCTTTTCTACTTATCTTTACTTAGAACCAGGGGCGAAACTACCGGGGGGGGTGTGGGGGGTGTAACACCCCCCCCCCAATCCAAAAAATAGTCGATTTCGCAGGGCAACCGAAGATTTCGCAGGGCGCCAAGAACGGAACAGGTATGTAAGGAAAAGCTCTGTTATTTGCAAAGCGAAAGCATTTCTTACCGAAAGTCATAGCCAATGGATGCAATGATTGATGCATATGTTTATGAGGGCAAGGTTGGGTCCATGCCTATTAATTTAAGTTGTAAATTATTTTCATGACAAGCACGGCGTCACTGGAGGGGAATAAGAGGCTGAAGACCCTCACTTTGGTCAAGATCTGGAGGGGAATAAGAGGCTGAAGGCCCTCACTTATTATTTTTTCTATTACTTTTTAATAGTGCAGGAACTAAAAAACATAATAAATCGTTAAAATACCGATTTTGTTTCATCTAATTGCTAACTTTTTTCACGTATATTTTTATTATTTTTCTTTTATTTGCATTAATTCAGTAAATCACTTTCTGTATCATTGCAATGTTTTAATTTTGGATGTGTAAACATGGCCTTCTCGATACAAGAAACTGCACATTTCTGTCCAGGAAATAAAATTCCCCCAATCAAAACAACATCTTCCTTTGTCACTCACAACTACGTGCAATCTGAAACGAAAGGTTGCCGTTCCTTTCCTTCCCCAACGTCTAACACTAGAGTTTTAGCATGACATCCCTCTACCTATTTTTCCCGATAAACAATAATATTTTCAATAAACAATCAGTTCTTTTAGCACAATAGTATTTTGCTAAATTTTTGTCTGAAAGATGCTTTTTAGCCCTTTTACAAGGTATAATTTCAAAAATTTTCTTCACGTCGGACCCAACAGGTGGGTCCTCCTATCTCACTAAACTTGATTCTTAGCCCCACTGGGCTAAATTTCGTTGCGCTGTCTACATCATGTACCCCTCCCCAATTAGCTGTTTTTTAGCTTAATTTTGCAAACCAACATTAAATAAAGTAAATATAAAAAAAAAACAATTTACGCTCAAGTAGAGAAATAGATATTTCATAGGCAATGAAGTTTCAAGTTTGTTTTTATTGCTTAGAAGTTTGTCCTTGGTAAAGACCAGTGTAAAGCTTTCACTAGTAACCTATAGACAAACCGTTGCTACGAGGTCTGCAGGGCACCACTCAGTTTTGCAGGGCAGAAACCCTTTTCACCCCCTCAAACCTATTGGCCAAGTGACGCCCCTGCTCAGGGGCGCAGTGAGAGTTAACTTTTTGGGGGGGCAAAGCTGAAAATTTTCCGATAAAACTATGATTTTTCCGACAAATTTTTTCTCAATATGCCAACATTAACGCGTTGCATATACTGCAACACTTGATACTACAATATCACGAATGGATCTGGAAATCGTTAACGAATGGATCGTTCGTTATACACCTTCAAATTCAACAATAGCCTTTATTCTAACAAAACTTACCAAATATAAATCGCTATAAACAAAACTGCAACTAGTTATAAATTTACACCCTACAAGTCTTCTCGCTATTCTAGACAATAAACTGTCAAGTTAGTGTTTATAGCTGTTTATAGCAAAAAGTTTTTTTGGCAAATTTTAAATCCCATCATAATTACTTTGCATTTATTTATGCTAAACCTTAAATAGATATAATGCGTCCAAAAGAATAGTTTTCTTTTAACTGAAATTTATATAAGCTGTTACTCAAGCAGCATCTTTCTCAAAAGAGGTGTGGCAGCATACAAATCGATGATGTCACCATAGTCTATCGACTGTAAAATATCACTTTCGACGTTGATTGTTATCAGAGAGGAAAAGCGGACTTGTCCCATCTTTGACCGTAGCCGATTCTTTTACAATCCTCAGCTTTGAAAAAGCTCTTTCGTACTTTGTTGAACCTATTGGCAAAGTGACAAGAACCTTGTAAAGAAGGACCAGCTGTGGAAAGGCACTTTGCAGGTTATACTTATCATCAACTGAAGAACTGAATGGAACTGAAAAGTTTTCTCTTTCTTCTGCAGCCGGGAGAGAGTTGCAACTTTCCAAAATTTACGATAATTATTGACGAAAGAGCTGTACTCATCTCTTAATTTTTCGTCATCCAGGCCGTTATTCTTCGCAACCTTTTTGAATTACACTGCACACAACTGCCTTTCAAATGTTTTTTGAAAACATTCAGGGTTGAGCAAAGCGAAATCTGTCAAAATTGCCTTATGAGACGTGAATCTTGTATTCATTGAGCTGATAGCTGTATCTACTATCACGATGATATACGGATTCCCTATTTCCCTCTAATTCATCTATGCAATTTTCCCCTGGCATCTTTTTCTTTCTGCGTATTCGTCGCTCGACAAAACTTTCCTGTGCTAAGTCATGGCGAAAATATTAACTTTTTGCGTCTTCTACAACACCAGCGAATTCATTTCGAAATGAACTGAGTTGAATTTTAACTGTCGGAAATGGGAGTTTATAAAAAAACTGAGACCAGAGCGTTAATTTCCTTTACAAATTTCAGCAATGCGATAATTCCGATAAATACTCTAATGAAAATAAGTAAGAAGGGTTGAGCATGCCCTATTTTACGACAGGTTTAAAAAAATATGCGACCTTTCGGACAGGATCGATGAAAACCTTACATTTTGTCTAATATTTCAAAATTTCCGACAAACGTTGGATTTTCCGACAATCCGACAAAATTTTTGCCAGGGGGGGCGGCTGCCCCCCCTGCCCCCCCCAGCCACTGCGCCCCTGCCCCTGCTTAGATCCCCTTTTTTCTTGTCTTCGTAATTTCTTCTCCTGTCGTGCTTTCTATTTTCAAACGTAGCCTCTCTTTGGATGTGACGTAATTAGGAATCCGCCATGATGGCAATGGCACAGAAGCACAAAACATGGTGATTTGGCGCGAAGAATGATTTTCTGACAATATGGCGGAACAACTTGATGAGCAGCATATGGATAGCGAAAATTTTCCTGCCTCGAATCAAACGGTAATCAGCAGCAAAAGTTTTTCATGTGTATTTATTGTTAGATGTGGTTGCATTCTGTACATTCTGCATGTCAGTTAGATGGTTTGGCTAAGAATTCTCATTTAAAATGAATAGTTTTAAAATAATATCGAAACATAAAATAGTGATATAGAGTGGCGTCGCCCTCTTGGTGCACTTTGTCATAATAAAGCTAATAAAAAGACTGTTACCAACGTATAAATGAATAGATACCATTTACAGCTTTCTAAATGTGTGCTTTATAGAGCAACGTTGATAACGTTTCCCCCAGTATACGGTCGAGCCCCAGTTTAAGGATTGTCAATCAAGATTATGTTCTAAAATGCCACCAAAGACCTTTCAGTGCGTCATCATCACGATGAAAGATAGAAGTGGATTTGATTTTCAGACGGCTGCACTTATCACAGAGATTGATTTGCAACCTTGATATCATAGCAAAACCTTCTTTCTTCTAACTTCTAGTTCATAAAAAACCCCAATCAATGCTCGCCATAAACACCGCAACATTTAACATAAGATTTAAAAAACTTATATTCTGCATAAATTTTAATGGTATTATTGATCATATAAAGGGCATAATTTATGCAAAAACATACAGAGGTCAGCATTTGTTTTCATGTAAATTGAAGAGTTTTGTTTTTGTCTAGTAGTGGTGAGCTTCGTCAAAGTCCTTCATGTATGCTTATTAAAACTTGGCCGCTTGCTGAAAATGTATGGCTGAATGTCTACTGGCCGAGAAGCCGCCGTGTCTTGAAATAGCTTCTATCTATTATCGCAACGATAAGGCACTGAAAAAGCTTTGGCAACATTTTAGAATATAATCTTAATTTACTATCCCTTTACTTGGGCTTGACTGTATACTGGGGCGCCCTATATTGGGGATCCAGGTTCAATATTCAAAACAGTTTCATAGTATAGCAAGTTGAACAACCGATTGTTTTCATTGACAAAATCTTGTGGTGCACCCGAAAATTACAATTTTTACAGACTTTGAAAATTGATAAATTTCTGTGAATAATCAATTCTTCAAAAACAAACCAAATAAGCATAATAGAATTTCCGTCAATTAATTCACTTGGATTAATGTTTTATTTTTCTCACACCGTTTTAACTGTCCCTCCCTTTGTTTTTTACTGAATGACTTTGACAATATGAAATTCCAAAAGCCAATCAAAACACTTGTTTTGTGTCAACACAGAAAGGCGGTTTTATTAACCACAAGTAAACAAATTTTTTGGTAATGAAGAAAAAATGAGGACATTGAAACCAAAGTTTTGCATAACCTAAACTGGTTCTTACGAACTGGTTCAAGGTAAGCACTTGAAAAACTTGTCAGAAAATACAAGGTTTTTTCGGTTTTTGAAAAAAAACTAGGCCCAGTCTACTCTTATTTTATATTTTTACAAGTGGTATTCCAATCATGCAGTTTTTTTTGGGTGCACCAAGAGGGCAATGCCACTCTATTATTGATACCAAGGAATCAAAAATACATAATACAGAATAAGATAATGAGACCTGAACTGAATTGATCTCCTCTTTGTCATCATGTTCAACCTCCAGGAAAGTAACATATTCACCGTTCCGGGTTGATATCATCGATTCTGCATCTCGCTATCTACAGATCTTTCTAAAAAATGATCGCGAGTTACTTTGTTTTGAATATTTAGATATATCTTTAGATTTGCTGAGAATATGCTGCTGTAGTGGAAAAAGCTCAATACAGCAACAAATTCTATTGAAAGTTATAGGAGAAGCTAAATTTTGAAAATGGGGTCATTCGCTGCCTGGTGGGCAAAACAATGAATAAAGGGATAAAGGAAAATATTAGCCAGGGCGAGTCTGGTAGTTGATTTACATTTGTTTATTGCTGTTTGTTCTCTGCATGTTGAGATGTTCCTTATTTATTACATTCTTCTCTATGCCTTGCTTTTTAGGTTTATTGTGTAAAAAGTCTGAGGAGAAAATCTGTTCTCTACAATTTGATTGTGTATAGTTGCAATTGTGCTTTTATTTGCTAGGTCATCAATGAGCCTTTAGCAGATGGGAAACTTGCAGGAAAATGGAAATCAGTTAATTGTATTGTTGTTCATGCCAAAAAGTGGCCCACTGTTGGTAAGTTCAAATGTTTTTTCCATGGTTCTAAGAATTAGAAAGTTTGAATGGAATGTTTTAAGCAGTGTAAGGGCATTAGTAATGAATGTTTTGTAAAGAGCACAGTGTCATTACTTTTTTCATTTATAATTTTTCCGATTGTCTTGCCTTCAAACTCTGGAAATCATCAATTTGCAATAAAATAAGCTGCCATTTTATATCTTAGCAACCTGGAGTAGGTGTTTCAACCTGTTCTAGGGTGCAAAGACAGAGCTGTACAAGGCTTGATGTGTAGCATAGCATTCATCTTATTTTTTGTTACTTTGCAAACAGGGTGCTGTTCATTTCTCCTTTTTTCTTTATTCATCATTATTTTTACTTGCATGAATTGGTGTTATTCTTGTGATTAAAACATGTTGCTGAGTTATTTGAAAATTAGTTTGAATTTTTTGTATATATTCCTTTGTGTATATAGGCAATGGTTGTCTCTTTTGTAGTTTATTGATTTTTCATACCGTTTCCTCTAAATCTTTGCTTTCTCTGTTCTTTTCTTTTTGACTGTTTTCACTTTTCACTTTTTCCTTTTCGAGGATAGCATTCCATTTTTGTTTTGTCTAATTTATACATTTTCTGTTTTTCGACAGAGACAAAATACTTTTAAACAAAGCACATTGAAATAATTTTTGATTTTGTAGACAATTTATATACAATTTCTTGAAATTTAGAAAGCACACAAACTGAAGACGTTTCAGGAAAGGTAACAATGAGAGAGATGAGATGGCAAGCAGATACACAGCACTACATTTATCGCAAACTGATAAACGAAACCCATGGTGAGTACAACTAGCTGAAATTTGCTACTATGAATTTAATTGTACCCTGAAAACTTTTTCCTTCTTGTATTCATATTGTAGTGTTCCAATAATAAAAGTGTAATTGTTGATAAATGTCTTGTGCTGACACAATGTTTTGTAAAAGAAAAATAGGGCCCCCTTCATATGGCAATGTAGTTAGGAAGGTATGAGAAGTTCCAGCTTTTGACATATAAACACTCCTCGTCCTAAAAGTATTCGAATAGAAGCCAATATTATATCAGTACAGAGTCAAGTGAAAAGCAAGGAAAAAGTAGTACGCCCCAAGAAGACTCTAGAATTATTTTTAAACTAAACTTGCACCAGTTCGAGAAAAAATTATTGTCCCAATCAAGGACATGTCGTTTCTTCATGACTTTCACCCCATTTTGCCGATGAGTGCGCTTCTTGGCTGAAAAATTAGGCTTTTTTCTTTAGTCACAAATCTTCATATTATATCAGTACAGAGTCAAGTGAAAAGCAAGGAAAAAGTAAATTGATTATATTTTTAGAATGACAATAGGAATCATTTCAGAATTCCAGGTAATTATAAAGCAAATTAATGATTAGAAATTTTTCAATATGAATAAATTCGAATTAAAACTAAAATACATGTTACACAAATTTTTACATTTAAATCAATAATCATTTTATTTATGAATTAACTTTCAATATTTGGTGGAGTATACCCAAGAGAAGTTGATTTCACGGGGCATGTAAGGAATAGATCTATGCATATTTTCAATGAAATGGTGAGAAGTATTTGACCGAATGTCAAAGATTTTATCATTAACTAATTTTGATTATTCTTTGGAGGATCCTCATTCGTTGGATTTTTCGTATGTAACCAGAGAAGCCAAAAAATTTTCAATTACATTAAACCTGGACTTTGCAATCCGTGCTAAATTCTTTTGTCTCCCTCAAAAATGTTTTTGACCTGCTGGTTCTCAACTTTCTCCTGCAAACCGATTTTTTAAATACCTTAGGTGTTTTAAATTTCGTGGTGTATTATAATTCGCGCGTACTTGAATTCGCGCATTTTAAATTCGTGCACAAATCTTTCATATTTTCGCGCAGTCTTGAATTCGCGCACACGAGAAAGTAGACAGGATGATACAACAATTCAGATCAAAGAAATTATATTTGTGAACTTTTCTCTTGACTAAAAGTAACCTTTTTATAAGAATGAGTCTTCATACTGGCGCTCTATTGCTAAGAAATCTTTAATCCCAGCCCTCTCAAACCTTTTGACAGCTATATCTGGTTGGTTTTGCATGCGGTCATAAAAGGATGTCAACCACTTTGCCTGTATCAGCTTCAAAATACTGATTTTCAAGTCTACTTTGACTTGTTCTGCTTCACAGCCATTTTGAATTTGCTGCTGGACTTGTTCTGCAAACCAGTTTTGGGACTCTTTACGGAGAAACGCCTTGCAACTTCTGTTCACTGTGAGATCAAGGGGCTGGTAAATATGGGTCATGTTTTTTGGCACTGGAACCATCTTTCCATTATTTTTAAGCACCAACTGCTTCACATTTTCAGTCCATTGGTCCTTGAAGACATCAGCTAGCAAAAGCCACTCTTGATCTTTTCTCAGTTGTAGCTCTTCTCTCTTTTTTTCTACATATGGCATTAAAATTTTCAGCACCATTTCTTTGGATTTGTCTTCATTGGACCAATGGTTTTCAGTGTGTGTGATGTGAAATTACTTTGGAAAGGCGTAGCCCGGATGAAAACGATAAGTTTTTCCTTGATAAATCAGCTGCATCGACAAGAAGTTTCCACTTAAGCTTATGGCAAACGTGCCAGTTAATTGTCTTTTGTCTGTCGAATTTGTCATGGGAATCGATTTTTCTCCTTTCTTTTCCATAGTATATTGGGAAACAAGAAAAAAATTGAAGGGCTGTTTGGTCCATGTTTATAGTTAAATCGTCTGGTATTTTATGCGCATTCGAAATAACAAATATGGCCTGATGGAAAGAAAACCCAACCTCTTTAAGGAGACCCGGAGCGATTGGTGCCTTCGATGTAGTTGCTTTTCTTGTAGCCAAGTCGACGAAGTATGATCGATGCCGACAACGAACGATGCCACACTTAGCAATTTCAGCTCGCTTAAATTCGTCGTAATCACCATACTTACTTCTCTTTCTCTTTGTCGATGTCGACGCAGCTTTTGTAATTTCAGCTTCAACTGATTAAGTCTAAAAACAATTCACATATTGAGTACTCTCGTCTTTCACGTTTTTTATAAAAAAACTGGTTTATAAGAAGCTAGTGCTATAATGGCCAAAAACTCTAGTACCAGGTTCAAGAAAGTTTTCCATCGAAAAAAAGTGTAAAAATTGAATTTCCTGACAAAGAGTCCACTGAGTATAATTTGTGTGTGGCATTTCGTTTGTGACTATCAAGAGAGTAAGGGAGTCTTTTCTGTCACAACTTACGGCAACATCATAGAGCCCTCTTTAAAATAATCATTCTTATAGAGCTCTTTCACTAACTTCTTTATGTACAGTTGAATGTTATAAGTTCAAATCTTGCTATTTTTTGTCTGGAAAAGAATGTAACTTTTAGAAGGCAAATTTAGGCCCATAAGAAAAGAAACCAATTAAAAAACCTTTTGTACTGAAACACCAAACAAATTTTAAGCCAAATTAAGAAACTTTTTAGTACTAAGTGCTGTTCCAAGTTTCTTATTAATAAACGCGTATTTTAAGAATTTCAGTGATAGGTATCAAAGTACAAATACACTCTTTAATGAGAAAGGGTGTATTTACCGATAAAAGAAAAAGCAATTCCTTTCCTCACGCTCACTGAGACCACAGATGTTGCTACTTTTTCTTTGGGTATTCTATCAAAATACTTGAACAGTTAAATATTTGATAATGATGCGGCAGATTTAGTAAAGTAGTATTTTCGTTTTGTAAATATAAAAGTTGCAGCTATCAGTGCAAGCAATGTGTACGACGTTTATCAATAACCTTGGCACGATGACATGCCTTATTTCTCTTTGTCATGACGTATTCTGTCATTGGTGGCCTCCTTCGAATCCTGGCTAGCTACAAAGACGAAGAATATTATAATTTAGTGACGGTAGACGATGATGGTGAGACGATGAAGTGGTTTTCCGCTCCAGAAGAATGAGTCAGTGAAACAGAGTAAAGTCTGTTAGAAGAATTTACGGTATTTCTGTTTACGACTATCAAAGCTGAGAACAATAATATTAAATAGAGCTGAAATGATTTTACCTTGTCATTCTTAAAACATCAGTATAGAATAGATCGGACTAAAAAGAAGGTTTTTGTTTCTAATTCTGCGTTACTCAATGGAATTTTGTTCAGAAAAGGAAAGTGAGTGTATAAGTTGTGGAGACCCAACAAAACACCGGTGTTTGAAATGCAGTGCTTTCGTTTGCAACAAAAGTCTAGAATGCTAAGTTTTTGTGTATGAAAGCTACCCTGGCTGGAAACAAGCTGAGAGCGTGGCTCTGTATAAAGCATGTGACGGCGAAGAAGTGTACTCCATTGATGACAATGATGATGAGGATGATGTGGAATCAGAAGGAGATAATGGTACTACAGAATTGATAGAAACTAGAGAGCAGTTTGAGGTCAAATGTGCATCTCGTGGTTTTTACCAGTACAGAAAATTTTGGATGCTCAAACTTGACGAAAAACTAGAAGTCGTACATGAAAGAGGCAATGTTTACGATCCTTATGGACGATCGACGGACATCGCGTAATCGGGCATTTGCCAAGGGAGATAAGCCGCTTTTCGAAGTTTTATTACGACAATGGAGGGAAAACGGATGCTTTTGTATCAAGCATAGCCTTTAGAAAGTCTCCAATACCACAGGGTGGTCTGGAAATACCGATTGTCGTGAAGATTTTCAAATTCGAAGGCACCAGACAGATTTTTCGACATTATGAAAGAGAAAGCGAACTCATACTGTATCGAGCCGAATCAAATTCAATTCAACAACCAAGATTTTTGTGATATTGACATTTAAAGTAATAAAAAATTTGTTATTTTTTCAGAAAATATCATAGCGTAAGATATTTTCTCGTTCAATTTATGACGATATTTTGCCTTTGCGTTATGCGCATGCGTGGCCTTTTTCGCGCAGCTCATTTTTCGTGCAGTACTTGATTTCGCGCAGTCGGGGGTGCGCGAGAAATAGTACAACGCGAATTTAAATACACCCAAGGTAACTTGCATATTCTACGGACAGTAGACTACGGACAGTCTACTAGTTTTGCAATTTCACAATGAATTATCTGCCTGGCGTTCTTCAGTGTGTTTTCACAATTGCTCAAAGAAAATAATTTTTTCCGTTTTTGAAAGTTTTTTTCTCAGTAAATATTTTCTCAGACAGGAGTTTTAATATGATTGTTTGCTCATATCTTTTATTTTTGGGTGTTATTTTTAATTTTCCCGCCAAAATTTAATTTTACTTTTTCACCTACAGGAGGAACCTTTTTGTTGCGAGCATATTTAAATTGGGGCATATTTATGATAAGCGTCTGGTCTATCATGTGCACAGAAAACAATTTTCGCATAATTTCATGTCAAATCATCCAGTCCATGACACCCTTACCTCTTAGATTTTCTTGAGGTTCTGACCAGTAATATATCATAAAGATATTAATCCAAAAATAGCACCAAAAGCATCGCATGGGCAACCATTTCACTATATCCCAAATAACTTGAAAAATCATGTGGCAGTGTAGATATTTTGATTTTTTCTTTTGGAGATGATTAAACAATACTACACTTCATTTCTTCCGAAGTTCGAGTTAAGTTCTTTTTAATGCTCTCTTAATGACGGAGCAAAGAGAAGTACTTTTCCGGTACTCTCATATTAGCCATATCAGATTCCAAATGTACAGTAAAAATAAGTTAAGGAAATAAAGAAAAAGTGAAAGAACAATTATCATTTCTTTAACTTTAAAGTACTTTAAAATCTGTGAAAAAAGGGTGTCAACTTTCCAAAATTTTTGATGACTTGATATGGAATAACTCATAATTGTTATGAGACAGTTTTATTTCAAGGTATTCAGTTATGGCTATTATAAGTTTTGTACTTTTTTTAATAGCAATATTCAAACAGTTGCAATTGTTGCCCAAAGATGAAGGACACTTGATGAAATCAACGTATGTATAAACATGCCACTTGGTACAATCATGGCATCAGAGCTACTCTTCGTACAATTTACTCCTTCTTCCTACAATTTTACTATAAATTCAGGTTATTTTGCGCCAAAACTGCTCTCCTTTGTAACCAGGAAACAAGCAAAGTGTCTAAAGATTGAAAAATTATAATGAATGTGTCATACTTCTAATTGCTGTGACTCTTTCTTTTAACATTGCTATCAGAAGAACTTCACGTGTGATATATGTAATTAGTGTTTTTTCCTTCTTATTTTTTGTTCCAATACTGCTTTTCATTTGCATAAGAGATTAATGTTTTTGTTTTCTGATTGCTGACGAACTTTGCAGAGTGACGTCTTTGAAGAAATATCCAGTTTACTCAGAGCCAGCAGCCAGAGTAAAATGAGCAAAATTAAGCAAAAGCTGCAGCCTTTTCTCTAAAGATTTGAGTTTCTTGATTCAAAACATAATTTCCACTGCAAATTTAATTTGTTATCTGATCTCGATTCCATATTTATCCTTAGAAAAGCCAGATTTTTTTCTTCTAGACTGTTTTCCTGGTCCTTGAGTTTTTTATCTTTTAAGAGCAAGTTCACGTGTTACTTTATGCAGACAATATTGATCGGTGTAGGCGTCAGTTTGAAAATTTTTAACACTTCTGTTGCGTCACAGATAGATATTTCGACCATATGATTAGTAATTTAAAGATTGGCGTTTTTCCATTAGGCAATAGTTTGATCAACGATGAGACGCGTTCGTTGTTGCCCTGTGCTTCTTGCGTGCAACTTCCAACACATGTTTGACGATGCTTAATAATGTTTCGTATTTAAACGTTTTATCTTGTAAACAGGCCTTAAGTTTTATTTTTTTGTAACTTCATTTATCAAATCTGTACGGTCTTTGCTGCCAGATAGATTCTTGTTTTGACTTTTGAGTTTTAATTCTGTCGCCACATTTGCAAAAGTAAAAATTCGTTAATTTTGCAGAAGGCTGAAAATTAGTCGCCAGTACAGGTCGGTTCTTCAATCATGTATTGTGGAGCTTCAACGAAAACTAAGTAAGTTCATTTTTGGTTGATTAAAAAGTCTCGGTTATTTACTGCAGTACATAGATCTATTAAAGGCAGACGGCCCCACTAAAGGCGATGAAACTTGTTATATTATGTTCTCTGTTTCTGAGGTATAGATTGTATTTCACGGCTTCATCGTTGTATAAATTGTCAGATTTCTGACAGCCCTTCAGGCTTTGCAGCATTTTGCTGTATTGAATTGAATGCATAGAAACGATTCACAATGATTTAGACTGTCTGCAAGGGCTGGTGTATCAAGTATTCTAATCTATCTTCCTTTGGTTATAGGCAAGGAGGACAACTTTGAAGATGAAGAGATGAAATACCAGGTAGTCATGAAGCATTATCTTCCTTTGAAGTAAAACTGTTTTTCCAAGTTCTTCAAAGTGATGTCTATGAATTCATTCACAATCCCTGCACGAATCTTCACGTAGGATACCCAAACGTAAAGGGTTTGCCAGGTTGAAGCTTTTTTTTGTTTACTTTTATTTGATGCTTGGTTGGCGATGATGCGTAATTTTTTAAACCATTATGTGTATTGATTCCACGCATTCTTCTCTATTAAAAATAATACGTGTTGCAAATTAAAAACTTTTAAAGCACATCACAATTAGTCGACAATTCATTTTACAGCTAGAGTTGTTGGCAATAGTAGAAATGTTTTGGCATCTCTGTGAAATAATTCTTATTGACACAAAGCCAGGTCAGTTTTTTCATCAATTTGTATTATTACTTTTTATAAATTACCTTAAAAATCCTCACCTTCCAAGTCTTGTAACATCTTTGCCAATCATATACAGTTCAATGATAAAACATACTGGTTTTGGAGACTCTTCCTTTCATTCATTCAACAACAACATTTGTCCTGCAAGCATTCTTGTCCTCAATGTGTAAGCCTCCTTCTTCAATCCTTCTGGAGTGCTACACGAAGCCTATTAGTATCATTCGTTTTGATTGTGCGATCCTAAATGCTCGCATTATCTTCTAATTAAATATGATTCAATGTACCACATGACTAAACACAGATTCCACATTACGGGAATCTCTTAGATTGATTTGACTTAGTCATATGAAGTTCCATTTTGTTAACGTTCATAATTTTCTTTTTATCTACGGCACTTCTTGTTTTGCTTGACTTTACTTTGAACCTAATTTTGAACCTAAGAGACCCATTTTAATTGTCAATTAAAATGGGTCTCTTTTTATCTGGCAGGAGGGTACTGCATCACAGTTCTGTTAGAGTGGGTGAGGTGGCATTTTACGAAGGCAGACAGATTAGCGGAACAAGTTCTTTTTTCGGATGATCCTTCGTCACATGAAAGTTTTTGGCCTGCTGTAGGTTCACTCAGTCTCAAATTTTAGTTCTTTGATTGCTTAAGCCTGTGAATTAATTTAATTTGATTTTTAACCTCTTCTTGAAATTGCTTATTGATATTAGTGTAAATGAATCATTGTGATATTTTCGTACAATATCTATTTAAGTGCTTAGAACATTAATGAATTATACCATGTCGTTACAACGGCTTGACTTTTCAGTTTTTTTCTAGATATTGGGCTACGTCCTGCAAGGAAGAATGACAGAAGCCATGAAATTGCTGCAACATTTTGCAGACGATTCTGAAGCTGCATTTAAGGCATGTTTCTCAATTGCAATTCTATTTAATGAATTTTTTTCTGTATTTTGTCGTTCTGGTCCAACCAGATTTTAGCCATCTAGATTAATGAACTGACTGCGTGATTTAAATTTTTGCCGCCGAATCTCTCCCGCTGAAGCAAAAGACTGTTTTTACTGCCAACGATTAAATGTTTCTCTGGAATGCTTGTTTATATATATATATATATACTATATATACCTATTGCAAAATAACATTATATGATGCTTGCATGTTCAGACAACGTTTTCTTGCTATGAAATGAGTTTGCTATATAAGAACGGAAGAGAGTTGCTGTTGTTGTAAGAACCTGAAATGTTCTGAATGATTGAAACATGTTCCTTTTCCTGCCATCTCAGAATGTTTCTAGTGCTTATTAGATGTATAAGATGTTCAATTTTACATGTTTATCAAGTTGATTTTAATGACAATTGTATGTCCCGATTCGTTATTTGTGAACAGGCTGTGAAAAGCATGGAGGAGCTGATGAAATCTATGCCGGAATTCCAGGTATGCCAATCCAGACTGAGGATGATATTTAGTAGCTACCAATATTTGACAATTGTGGTCTTTACAGTCGGATATAAGATGAAAATTCGGCAACGGAGAACTTGATTATCAATTTTGATTATCATTTTTATTTTTTGTTAACCCGGGCAAGCAAATTGCATTCCATCTGTAATAATGCAAGTTTCCATTATTTTTACCAGGACAAACATGTATTAAAAAAGCTAAGTCATAGATACTTAAGCCTACAAGTCACAGTATATTAACAGTATTTAACAAATATGAAATGAATGTACACTGGAACGGGCGGACACCTTTCAACAGACACCCCCAACGAACACCTCTCAACAACAAATAGACATGGGAAACCTCTACACTACGGACACCTCTATAAGGAAACCTCTATACTACGGAAACCTCTAAACAAGGGAAACCTCTAAACAAGGGAAACCTCTATACTACGGACACCTCTATGCAACGAAAACCTTTATACTACGGAAACCTCTAAACAAGGGAAACCTTTAAACAAGGGAAATCTCTAAACAAGGGAAACCTCTACACTACAGACACCTCTATAAGGAAACCTCTATACTACGGAAATCTCTATACAAGAGAAAACCTTTAAACAAGAGAAACCTCTAAACAAGGGAAACCTCTAAACAAGGGAAACCTCTATACTACGGACACCTCTATGCAACGAAAACCTTTATACTTCTGAAACCTCTAAACAAGGGAAACCTCTACACTACGGACACCTCTATAAGGAAACCTCTATACTACGGAAACCTCTAAACAAGGGAAACCTTTAAACAAGAGAAACCTCTAAACAAGGGAAACCTCTAAACAAGGGAAACCTCTATACTACGGACACCTCTATGCAACGAAAACCTTTATACTACAGAAATCTCTCTACTATGGACACCACTATACAAGGGAAACCTCTATCTAAACAAAGGAAAACTCTATACGAGGGAAACCTCTATAGAAGGGAAACCTCTATACTACGGATACAAAGCAAATCTCTATGCAAGGGAAACCTGTAAACAAGGGAAACCTCTAAACAAGGGAAACCTCTTAACAAGGGTACCCTCTTTAAAAGGGAAACCTCTTTAAAAGGGAAACCTCTATACAACGGATATCTCTAAACAGGGAAAACCTCTATACTATGGATACCTCTATACAAGGGAACCTCTATACTACGGAAGACTACACTGGTCCGAACGGTGTTCGTTGTATAAAAGTAAAGCAAATCAAAATCTAATAAAAAAACCTATAGTTAAATAAAGAAATATCATAAGGTAGTAGCGCCACCATAGTCCTTCACAACCAGCAGCTGCAATTATGTTTTCAAAGTTTAATTTGTACTTTAATGCCAAAAGGGAGTATTTGAGTTGTTATAGTCCTCTGGTAGGTTGTTCAAAGCTCACCTCCCCTTCTTGGTGTGACTTTGAGGCAAACATTATGATAGAACATCATGTTCGCATGAGTTCTTTGAGCTGCTTTCCAAGAAATAATTGACAACGGGTGTCTGTCTGGCACAAAATAAATATTGGTGAGGTTCATTGTGATATGCAGTTTGTAAAACTAACGAATTCATTACACACTTGCTGCAATCAGTGCTCGTGTTAGTCAACCAAGATCATGCCTCACTAAGTCATCCCACTATCATCATCATAAATTCAGCAAAAAAGGGTTCTTTTGTTGAATGGAACTGTCTTTCAGCGCTATTCGAATATTGCACTTTCGAACATTGTTCCTTGAACAAGGTAGTGACGTTATTACAGGTTTAGTCCATATTTGAGTTTAAAGTTTCCTTAGATTTTTCAGGATGGACACTTTCATCATGATTAAAAATAATCATTGCAATTATTCCTAAGGAAAATCAGCCAAATATTTGTCTCTTAGATAAAGAATTATTGTTTGTGATACTTTTTTCTTTCGTATATTGATTGAGCTAGTTTTCTAAGATACTGTTCAAACGAAAGAGTCCATAGATATATAACGCAGAATTTTTGTGTAGTTTTCCTCCCAACTCCAGGAAGAATATAATGGTCCTACTTTCGCTTTTATTCCATGACTAGGCCCGTAAGACGGTCATTATTCTATGTATGAGCTGACTTGATTTCACTTCAGGGCTTCACGGGACAATATGTTCAAGACTTCAACCAGAAATGGTATCACTGGAGGAATGAATGCGAGGGAAGATTAGAGGATGGCGAGTTTTCAGAACATCCTCATTTGGAAAGTATTAGCAAGGTAGGGGTTTGCAACATCATGAGCCTGGGTTGATGTGATGGGTCTGCAGGCAAATTTATGAGTTTAAGGGCATGACTAAGAGAATTTGAACTTTTATTTCCATAGCATTTCAGCTGGTTTTATTGGCACTGGAAACTTTGAGTAAGGAAGAAAATCGACGAAGATGAGTTTTCAGATGGCAATGCTAGATTTTCATGAAATAAAAAGAAAGATAATGAAACCTCTTCATCATTCTTATTATTCTAATATACCTTTGATATAAATTTAGTTATCTTTATTTTTTTACAAAGTATTTGATGAGTGCTGAACTATAACAACTTTTGAATGTTTTAATGACACTTTACATCTTTTCCGAGTTGCTCTGGGGTTCTATCGTGATATTCATTTCTCTTTCAATTGAATTGCCTGTCTTGTCTCTGGCTAAATTTTCCAAAATCATTCTCTTTTCAATAGATATTTTGTGGTCAAGAAAGTGCTATCGAGGAAAACAGGTTTTGTTCATCATTATTATACCCATCTTTATTAAGTACCACTGCCTTCCCTTTTCTGGATAATTGCCTTTCCTTTCATATCCATTTTTCTGGATTATTGTGTTATGCTGCCAGCTATCTAATGTTATTTGTTGTTATTAAACTTTGTAACTGTTGTCAAACTAACTTAAACCTGCGTTTTCATCGGGTGATCTTTACTTATAGCTTAAACTGCTATTTTGAAACTGCTCGCTACAAAACTTTTTTGACATATACTCACTCTTGCTTCAGTGATCTTTGCCAGTCATGGTACGAAATACTTATTGCTAAGTTGCTTTATACCGAGGCAACAATCAAGAAAACGGACCTTCACTCTCGATCATTGGTATGTATTTACTAATACTCTTTCACTTTCAATTGATTCATTTTTCATAAACTTGTGGATGTATGTTTTCAGACAAAGCCCTTACAGAACTGTGGACCATGAATTCTTTCAGAATTGTAATTTACGTGATGAATTTTATGAGATCATCTGGGTTTCTAAGCCGGAACGACAACAAGTTGCTAATTTGTAGGGGTCGTGTAATGATTAAAGTTCTAACTTTACCTGATGAATTTTTCTTTCAACCTGTAAATTTATTTTACCTATTAAAATTGATATTTGGAAATAGCCAAATTCTAGATCTCTAGTTTCCTCATAACTACCACCATTTTACTCATAATAATTAGCATGAAAACATCAAAGATGATAAATGAAATCTCTAAATTTGGATTAGCATAACAAGAACATTCAATCTTTTCGTAAGAAGTATATCAACATCTAAGCACAATCAGTTTCAGATCTTCGATGTATTTAATGATGAAAAGTAATTTCCTTTCAAGTCAATTAATTCTTCTCCTTTTTCTTTGCCCATTTTAAAGCTATTTGCTTCAGATCAATTTTATCTAAAATATCTCTTGAGCAATATAGATGCATCAAGGAATTGACCCTTCCATCATTTTTACTTGATCGAGGGAAATTTTTTATAATTTTCAGAGGGCTAAATATTTCTTTCGTTTTTTGCAACTGAAATTAGCAAGTGCATATGCCCGATTCGTAAGATGAGTCACTCTTCTTTGATCGAATCCTTGTGCTGCAACTTCTGCTTACAATTTATGATACGACGTTAAGGAAGACTACAAAGAATAAAGGGAGCTTAGCATACACTCGATTTTTATTAGCGTTGAGAATTTTTACTGAAAGATTCTTAATTCTATATTGAATAAGCTACTTGAAGTTACTTAAAAAATCGCCACATAATTATTTTTTTATCAAACAGAGTATGATTTTTTTTCAAAACTGTAGGCTCAATACTGATTGTAAAATTTTAGGTTTTTATCAGGAAATTCAACTTGCCCATTCAAAATAATTTAATTCAACATAACCCCCTTCAAAAGGAAAACAAAACGGTGTAATGTTGCAATTTGAGCTCAAGTGAAGACGGGGCTTCGCAATCAAAAACGATAAGTAGATGGGTCGGCGTCAAACTGTGAATTTCATTAAGGTTTAAGATTTTTACACTCAAAATCCCGAAATTCCTAAAATATAAAATTCACATATGTGGTCTAAAGTATAGAAAAAATTCCAAGTGAACTGTTAAGTTTTCCGACTCTTTCTAGATTTTCCAACCTTGAATGTTTTCAATATTATTTGCAACAGAGTGCAGTAGAAGCAATTGGAGGCTATGCTGCTCTTTCGCCACTCGATGAAGTTGTTCTTGCCATTTTGAATTTTGATGTCCACCGAATGATTCGCAAATGCAGGTGACCTAGTATTTTAGGGTTTTATGAATATTATTTGTCAAGTATAAATTGTTCGTCGTGTTTGTTTAGGCTTTCTTGAAACTAGCTTTCTTTATATTGTAACTCGTATTTTTCAAGATGCAACTTAGCGTCTGAAAGCTGCAACTAACATCATTTAAAGCAGAGCTGCAAAAAACATTTTTCTTTCTGGGAACCTGGGAAACAGGACAAAAATTTTTCTGTGGGTGAAATTATTGTGTACCAGTAGTACAGAACCAAAAATTTTACTACTGGTACACATCTTTTGTGTCTTTGGCAAAGATTGACTGTTTGAAAAAAGAAAAAATTAATTTGGGAACCAAATGGCAATATGTTTATTGACTGGCAGAAAACGTTTTCATAGATGGTGCTCTATACAATTACCTGGTGTTTGGGAAAGGCAATAGATGCCGGCTTTAAGGAAAATGAATCATGTTACCTGTTTATACTTTCCAGTCAGCTTTTTTAGCCTTTCATTTCAAACGATGGGTACACATGTCAGCATGATATTCTACATAAATAAATGGTGACACCTCTATTCAAAGGACAAATGTGATCTGAAAGAACACAAGGATGTAACTCAATGCCAATCAAAAACTTTGCCAATTCTGCAAAGTCAAGACTCGAGTCAAGTATTGTATTGCTAACAGGAAGAAAACTTAGGATGCATGTAATTTTTGTAGCTTTTCACTTTTCGCAGCACATAAATTGCCTTCTTCAGGTCTGAAGCTTTATCTGTTAAAAAGGTCCTGGACAAGGAAGCTAAATTTTGCTTCTAAGTTATAAAATTTCTTGTGATATTTTACAAATGAGTAATAGTTTTTATAAAGTTTTCAAAAGTGCGAAACTTTTTTATTTGATGCAATCTACAACCTACACATCAAGCTCACATTTGCATAAACTTTTTATCTATTGTGAAAAAGTCAAGAAATATTTTTTGCTTGTGCAAAATATTTTCTGCCGAACCAAAAATATTTCTGAGAATCTAATTCCTAGGTTCCGATACTTTTTGCTGCTCTGATTCAAAGTACAACTTAAAATTTTTCGCAGTAACCCATTCCTTTCAAAATCCTTTCCTTTCATGCTTAAGATGCATTCAATTATCTTCAAGATTTTGCCTCCCCTCTAAGTACCACAAAATATCTTCTTTAAGATGCAACTTACCCTCTAAGTTCTGCAATTTTATTTTATCAAGACGTGACGTACACTTTTTCTACGGTTCAGCTCGTCTTTTTCAAAACGTTAGTTACCATTTTTTGGTTATCCTGCAAGAGATGCATTTAATTGATTATGACTGCAACTTTCTCTTTCTATGCTGCAATGCATTTGGTTTTATGGACAATTTTCTTTAAATGCATATTTGCTTGCATGTTTTCTAATCTTTTTATTCTAGTGAATGTTTACCAAACTGGTGGTTTGTTGCTCACATTACAGACCTACTCCACCACTGTGGAATGTTGAAGGAGCATGACTTTGGGTAAGCTCTACGTGTTTGCCTCTTAGTTGTTTGATAATTTGATATGATAAAAGCAGCGAAGTTTGGAAGCCTAATCAACCTCAATTTTTTATTTACTTTCTAGAATCAGCCTTTTTTTTGATCTATTTGTTTCCAAATTTTTTCGTTTAACCGAAGAAATGTTTGGCGTTGTTTAAGGAAAGATTGTTAGGGGACCTAGTGAAGGACTCGCACACTTTCTTGTGTCATTTATAATCGAATTGTTTATCAAAAATTGCCAAATAATTTAAATTTTTGAAAACACCATTTAAATTGTTGTTTTTCATTTCAAATTTAATATAGAGTGTTTATCTTCTCAGCTGCAATGTTCATTTGAGAGAATTTCTACTGCTTGACTACAGTCAAAGTTTGATGTCCAATCACAGGTTTGTCTATGCTACTTAATGTCTTGCCAGTGTGTTTGGAAATCTTACTTCACCTGTCTGTGTTTTATCAAGAATCGAAAAATTCATTTTCAGCTTATCTATGTTTTAAAAGGGGTATATGCTACGATTCATAATCCGAACAACCAAAAACATCTTTTCAGTTGATGCATCTAGGCCACATCATCTTCAGGTACAAGGAACTCCAAATTTCTTCTATTATTTCAATTAAAATGAGAGAAATAAACGTTATAAGGAACAGTATAAGTTGCATGTTGTTGCTTATAGCAGTCAAATGGACAAGGTTTAAAGTCTGTTAGGGTCAAAAAATTAGGCGTTCGGGCGCTCGACCGACCGTACTCAAAGCCGAAGCTATCCTTTACGAATCTATAGCAAGAACGACTTCTTACGGTAAAGTCGTTGAAAGAAAAGAACCGCAATACGATCGAACGATAGAAACCCGAGAAAATACCCAATTATAAAATAATTTTCCACTTCGATTACTTTTCAGCAGTTCTCAAAAACTCGCAAACTGTAAAAGATATGAGAGTTCCCCGCCGTAAAGATTCCAGAAACATAGCCAACCTAGAGAAGCCAGACCCTATGTCCTTTATGACCCCAACTGGATTTTTGGTAATGAAACATACATACCGACGATATTTTGCTGCCCTTGGTGATTTCTGATCTATCTCGTTTTAGCAAAAAGCACATTCAAATCATAAAAAACTTGTTATTGACTTACATATAACTTTTTCTAATTTTCTAAGATAAATTTTTACTAAATAAATGAAGACGATAGGTCTGTCGAAGTTAATGCCCACAAAATATGTTTCTGGTTAAAATGTCCGTATTTTATCTACTGAGGAAAAATTTAGGCTTGCAAAACTTTTCATGGCAAATGTCTCGTCACAGTTTTCCAAGTTAACAGATTTCACTTTGCATGTTTTTATTAACTATTTTTTGCATTTTTTTATTTTGACCATATAACCCAAGAAATTCTTCTAAATATGTAAAAACAGTTAAATGTGTTGCAAACCAGCTGTGTTATGGCCACATAAATACAGGCTCTTGTCCCATCAAATCACTTAATTTGGTCTTGGTTCATAGCTTTATTTTTTGGTAATATCTTTCGTTGGCCATATCTCGCCCAATTTCGAACCAATCTAACTTCTTGACTTAACAATTTAAGTAGACGCATGATCTTGGTACAAGAACAAATAATTCAAATATATGCTTCAAAACAAACTTTTTTAATTCTAATCTTCTATGAGCATTTTCCCAGCATCGGCTCAAATATCAAAGTTTAATAGCAAATTCAATTTCAGTTTGCCTGTGAATAATGATTCAATATTTGAATCAAAAACATGTTTCTTAAATATCACAATATGTCACACTAGTGGTGAGTGGAGTAGTAATGGCCATTTGTGGCGGAGATACACTAGGTGCCTTCAATAGGTCTCAAGTTCGTTTTCTACTTCATATTCTATGGGACTGAAATTGGCGACACAGGTTTGAAATATATGGAGTCTTTGGTAATTAAGGCTTTCAGCGCGAAAAAAGAATAAGTAGGATGTTCATATATGCTCAGACTATTTTCAGAATTTTTCAAATTTGAGCGTATGGGCCAAAAAGGCATTAAACAATATACCTATATGTGTAAAATCTGTTTAGTATGTCGAGAATCGGTTGAGATAAAGGCCACACGAGCACAGGCTGTTTCTCCATCAAACCTGTGTAATTTGGTTTTGGTTCATAACTTTGTTTTTTGGTCATATATTTCTTTGTCCATATCAAACCAAATTTCGAATATATGTGACCGATTTTGCATATTGAGTTAGAAATGTTAAGTTAGGAAACATGAATACCCAATCATGGCTGGAGATAGGCCAGTAAGAAGGTAGTTGCTCCTGAAAAGCCATTTCTTAATTTATTACCACTTGAAAAATTGAAGAGGCTCATTTTGAGGCTTCATACTATTACTTCTCCCGTCTCAGTGATTGAAAGAAACATGAACTGACTTTTATCTAAATTTGTTGTGACCCGACCTGAAGCAGGAAAATGCATACTTCAAGAGTTGACCATGCTCCTCTTTTCTTACTTTCTTTTGATAGAAGGGAAGATCAGGAAACCTCCATGTAAACATTTTATCCTAAGTGTCTCGAGCAGCCAGTACTGGGCTTGTATGCTAATAGGTGTTCTAAAAGCGCTTTTTTCCAAAGTAGATGCATTTATTGAAAGAACTAGCCCCGAGTGTAAGTTGAGTTTCCCTAGTGTTTGATGTGAAATAAGACTGACTTCTTGCCCTGTTAATTTGAGATAACGGTGAAAGGCAAGTTTGCAGACAGGAGGTTGTGACGAAAAGGTATTGCGGTATTTAGTATAAAAATTTCCAGCTTGGGTTGCCTTCGAGGCTTGATTTTCGCCATGTCATTTTAAGGCTACATCGAAGTACATTGCATCAAAGTACATTTGACTTATCCAATTCATGATAGGTGAAGATAGTTTTGCAACGGATGGCGTGAAAATGCCGTCAAACAGAACTCAAAATCAAATTTCGAAGAGGCTAATTTTAGGAGAGCTCAACCGAACTCTTCAAAGACTATAAAGATGACAAGCGAGGCTAGAGCTTTTTAATAGTAATTCATGTGTCAGATCGCTTAGACGAACAATTCCATAATGAAAGAGCCGAAATGCGATCATATGTAGAATCTGTGCAAATTGTGTTGTCAGAAATCGCCGAAATCTGATTAAATGTCGTCTTCGAATAAGCGTTTTCGAATGAAGAGACAAGGAAATGCCTTAATAATCATCGGAAGATAGAAGTAACAAAACCCTTTGACAGGACCGTTATAATCAAACCCGTTGTGGTGGCTTTCTTCACAGCGCTCCGAAAATGTTTATTTGATGTGACCCACTGCATATTGCCAATATAGACGACGTCTACTTCCTAACAAAGACAGAGAATATGACTTATTCACCAGTCGCTTGTTCAGTGCCGCGTTATGTAACCGTAAAACGTAATCCAGGCAATTTTTCAGTGTCCATCGAATTTAAAAGTTTGTCTTCCAGCTGCAATGTTTCAGGTAAAGTATCCCCAAGAACTGAAATTTTATTCAATTTGACATGCAAAGATATTTGTTAAGCTGTTATGTTATCCTTGCTGATTCTTATCATAATTGCATCATTTTCTGCAAAATTGTTGGCTGTTTTCATTATTTTCTTTACATCACATTTTTTTGGAACTTTGCACTATTAAAGGATTTATGCCACCAATTTAACTCTGCCATTTTATTGACGAATTCGGTAGAAAATAGGTCAAAATTAAGCATTTCAAAGTTTCCGACAAAAATTCATTTGGAGGTGGCTGTAGACGCAAATTTACATAAGTATCACGTGACCGCGTGACGTAGAAGCTGACAAGCGAAGACAGGCCTAAACTTGAAAGGTATAGGGTTTTCGCTACTCGCGCACAAAAAGTTGATTTATTTTGCAAAAATGAGTATCTTTGAAATAGATTTTGCCACTGGATATTGTAGTGGAATGTTGTTTTTTTACAGTTTGAGCCATATTTAACAAACGGAAAACGCAATAAATATAATAATTTAACAACAAATTCATCAGAGGAAGGAAATGAACGTAATGGTTTGGAAAACGGGATCAAGTTAGAGCAACGGGAATGAAGATACTGAGTGGGAAGCTTTCTCAGCTTTCTACTCTCTGTCCTTCATCCTTTTTCGATTAAAATTAAGCTAGGGTAGGAAGGTTGTTTGAGCAATTTTTTATTGTTTGTTTTGTTTTTATCGTCTTATAGGTTCAGCATACACTTAGTAAAACCAGAGAATATAATTTTTTTATAAAAGTTTGTTTTATTCAGCCAAAGAGAAGTAGAATTGCCTACCCGGTACATGATTAGATATTCGACTACCACACGCCCCCTATAACAAAGACATAAGTCAGTCATTCTTAAAGTCCTGCCCGCGGGTCAACTCCGGCCCGCAGCAAAATTTCATCCGGCCTGCCAAATACTTTTTACCTCGAAAATATTTTTTGCCAACATTTTCAAAATTTGGAATTCGATTTACCTTTGGTTTTTTGTCCCCACTGATATTTTTTTTCTGCAGTAAATTTTAATTGCTTTTCGTAGACAGTTATTGGTCCATAAAAGAGTACCGAAATAGGAAATGCCTTATTTCAACAGTCCAATTGATCGTTCTAACTGTTTTTTAATTTGTTTCTCTTCCCCATCTTACACGCTGTTATGCTAGATTATTCCAAAACCTTGCAAGACTTTTCCTTTCTCATGTCAATAGATAAAATGATGGAACCTAGTTATGAAAGAATATTGCCCTGAATTTTCTCCCGTTAAAATCTATTTGAGGTGCTGTTTTGGCCATTCCTACATTAATATAACCTAAAAATTTCCAACCCGGTGGCGGCCTTTACTAAATACATTTACAAACATAAGATTTTGGCCTTTCTTTAGAATACACTGTGCAGTCCATCGACTTGACTCCAGCCGCGTTTCAAATCGATCCAATAAGAGACTAACGAAGATCAACGTTCTAGCCTAAAAATACATAGCATAGAACGATCTTCTGATTCAGCCTGGTACAAGAAACAAAATTACAAACCTTTGTGAAAACTATTTTTTGGGTTTATGCGAAGATAGACAGGCACGAAATGAAAGGACTGCTAAGATTAACTTAGCTTTAACACTAACTTAGCCTGTTAAAAATGAGATCCGAGTTTCATTTTGAGCAATCTTTTAACACAAGGTATGTAAAAGTTGAAATCCAAGTGGCCCCCGAAGAAAATCTATATGTTTTTCTGGCCCGGCACTTACAATAATAAAGCACCCCTGACATAAGTGATTCTTTTTCCTTTAGTCATAAGTTAAAAGCATGCACTTTCAGCTCACTTTAAGTTATTTATTAAGAAAATACATATGTCAGACGGAAGCTACTTTTTTGAGATTTCACTCATTCCCTGTTCAACCATTTGGCTGGGCTCGGGCCTACGATTTTCCGACATGACAACATCTTGGATGGGCTTCTGCTTCTGACACATTGAACGTTTGTCAAATATCAACCGAAAGCCCGAATTTTCCGACGCAAAAGCCTTAGCCCCCCATGCCCTCGATCATTTCCACAACTGGATACCTATAATTTCCGCTAATGAAGATAACAAGCTCTTGTTTTGCGTTTTACTTGCACGGTTCCTTACCTTCCGCATCCCATGGAAAATTTGTGGTATGTTAAATTTTTCCACTCCGACAGTGCTGAACCCCGTACTGTCTGGGTTCATTCGTAGGCAGCACAATAAGGTATGACTCCCTAATTACAAAGATTTCTTTACTTTGAATGAATTGATTACTAGTAACAAAACAGTCGACCCGTTTTGATAAAAAAGTTCCTAAATAAAAGATTTCCGAGAGCCACCTCGCTAGAAAACCAACTGTAAGATGCCACGAAATATCCCTACGCCTCCCACCCCACCCCCACCCCCAAAATTGGGAATATACAAAATTTTTGTCATCCCATAAAAAAATTGGATATGCTTCCAAATGCATATCTTTAGACATTGCTATCTCATATCTTTTTTGCAAAAATGATTTATACATTGACCCATGAAATTTCTCTTTCGACCGATCCCTCCCCCCCCCCCCCCCCCCCCCCCCAATCCTTGGAAACACCTCTGCGCACATCCAGATTCAAAATCTACGCTCAAAACTACTCCAAAATTATCACCATCCAATAATTTGTACTCTCGAGGGGTGGGGCAATGCTCTCCATTCATCAACTGATCCAAGTGCAATTCTTTCAATGCCGAGGTTGTCAACTTCTACGTCACAGTATCACGTGATACGTTTCCCGCCAAAATTTAAATGCCCGTTTTGGGGGTCTTACATACCCCAGATCGTGGCAATATTTTGCAGACATGTTTAGATAGCGTATACCTGTAGTGATTTTAATATTGTAAATTAGGCCATATTCCTACATCATGCCATCACCATGACATCCACCTAGGTCATTCACAACATCACCTAGCACATGACATTCCCTTCACCATTGTACACACGTTCACACATCTATGTCATGCTGATTTCTTCCTAAGTCTAGATCTTTCCTTCTCCATTGCATCATCATTACATCATCACAACACATCATTACTCAGCACATTTATTTTGTATATAAGTACGTTAATTTGTATGTAATTCAGTCAGTCAGTCAAGTTCAGTTCAGATCAGAGTTATACAGCAATACACTGCCTCTCTCACTGGCTCCGTGTTCTCTGCACGTTAAATAAGATTCATCGAAGCGAACACCAACGATGGAAAGTCACAGGATATGATAGGAACCATTGCAATTCTTGCTAAATAATAGCGTTCCTATAATGGTGACCACGACGTGACCCGCAACTCCATCGTTGGTTAACTGGTTAACTCTACTTCGATTTCAACACAAACACAATTCAACCGGATTCGTCATCATAAACTCAGCAAAACTCACTGGAATTGTCGACAACAAACACATGGACACAGTACCACAAATCGCCACATGCATCTTGGCAGCACCAACACCACGGATCTCTCCAGTTTACCACATCCAACTTCTCGCAGGTTCTTGGTCATCCTATTCATAAAACCTTGGCAAACAATCAACGCACCGCAGCACTCGACTCACCGTAGTGCCCTCAACGCATCGCAGCACTCGACTCACCGTAGTGCCCTCAACGCATCGCAGCACTCGACTCACCGCAGTGCCTCCACGCAACATCAACGCTCAATAACTCCTCAACAAACTGGTTCCTGGTCATCCAACGTAAAAACTTCGCACAAATCTCCTAAATCACGAACAGAAGAAAACACCGGCCACGTCTCGAACTCTCATCGATTTATAACGGTTGGACATTTAAATTTCGAACAATTAATATTTTATCGCAATTCACTCATATTTTTAATTCATCGATTTTACAATATTAAAATGTATTCCTAGTTCTTTTCCCTTGCGTATCGAATGCTTCACAACCGCTTGCATTCTAAGGGGGGAGCTATTGTAGTGATTTTAATATTGTAAATTAGGCCATATTCCTACATCATGCCATCACCATGACATCCACCTAGGTCATTCACAACATCACCTAGCACATGACATTCCCTTCACCATTGTACACACGTTCACACATCTATGTCATGCTGATTTCTTCCTAAGTCTAGATCTTTCCTTCTCCATTGCATCATCATTACATCATCACAACACATCATTACTCAGCACATTTATTTTGTATATAAGTACGTTAATTTGTATGTAATTCAGTCAGTCAGTCAAGTTCAGTTCACATCAGAGTTACACAGGCAACACACTGTTTCTCTCACTGGCTCCGTGTTCTCTGCACGTTAAATAAGATTCATCGAAGCGAACACCAACGATGGAAAGTCACAGGATATGATAGGAACCATTGCAATTCTTGCTAAATAATAGCGTTCCTATATACCTACAAGTATCAAGAGACAGTTGGCGCCAAATTAGGTGGCAAATACCGATCTAGGCCTTCCAGAGTTTTAAACGCAACGCCAACCAGGTTGGACTGTTCAACGCCGGGCAAACCAAGGATGGTTCGTGAAGTGTAAACAGGGCTTGAAGTATACATCTCTGAGAGTCGAAAAATATTTTGCCAATATTTTACAGAGGCATGTGCTTGTGACCCTTAGAAAGACTGTTGTACATTGCAAACAGATTTCAAATTAATACCGAATTTGCAAATAAAATTGGTGTGAAGAAGTTTTCAAAATGAAGTTGAGAGTTGAGAGAAGTGTCTCAATTTGAAAATATAAAGACAATTTAAAGACTTCTCGACTAAAAGAACAGACGTCATTATGCGTGTTTTATTTACGACTTTCCTTTTAAATTGAAAGTGCCATTCTCCTATAAATATCCTCATTAAAATGGACTTTTGACTTATATAGTTTAGAATGGCGACTGGTATTGAATTTATCTTTTGCTCTCATCTTTTGATTTTGAGATAAAAAAGCCTGTTTTTGTAAAAATAATATCACTACGTCATAGTAGGTAAATCGAAACATCAAGGAATGTCTAGAGAAATTGATATTTTAAGAACAGTATTGGCATTGTGCATAACCTCTCGGTGACATACCAGTGACTACAACGTATCCCGCCCCGTCCTTCCCCGCATTAGCAGTCAAAGTGATCTTCATCTTATCTGGTTATTTAAGAATGCTGTTGATGAAACCCAGCCTGTTTCGCAAATGGCAATGTCTGCTAATCATAGAGATAATTCAGTTTAAATTAGACTTGTTAAAGACAAGACAAGAAACACTCATCTGTGCACCCTTAATCCCTTTTGACCTGAAATCCTAACTGAAAACTCGTAGTTTTTCAAACTGTATCACTTTCGAATGATCTACTGGATTAAAGTGTAATGAAAATTTGCCACTGTTAATAAGGTTTTGGTTTTTTCTAATCCTTCTTCAGTAGGGGCCCGGACGAAAATCTTAATGTAAAAAGTTATATTTTTCGTCGGATCCTATTTGCATATGGAACTTCCCTTTGAATTTGGTATAGTTCATTTTGTTGCTCTGAAGTTTTGCACTCTCTATTTTGTTAGACACTCCTAAAGCCCCCAACCCAACCCCCTCCCCCTCGCCCTCCCACCTCCAAGCAGCCAACTTCAATGGCCTAAAGTTGTGTAACCCTTATTGTACCTAAAAGTTTCTTCTTTGTTGCAGTCTTTGGCAAGTAGCCGCTGATTACCTGTCAACCTGTCCAACTCAAGGAAGGTATGTATAGGAACCTGGTGACTACCAAACACCGTTGTCGACATGTTATGTCATAAAAAATATTTTTCGAGTTATGAAAAGTATGTCTTCTGTTCTTGAATAAAATTTTTATTTAAGCCGAACAGTTATTTAAGCCGTTAATACTCGGTTAGTATGCTCCAAGACTCTCAATCTGTTGATTAATTTGGCTAACTTTTGTATAAATTTGTATAATTTAGGTATAAATTGGTTTACTGTGTAACTTACTTGAAAATTTCGAGATATCTTAGGCCCTTTTGAGGCCACTGGATAGCTGAAGGCCTCTCCATCGTTTTTGGCTAACTACTGCTACTGCAGTTTCAATTTAACAACCGCCAGTTATTCTACTTTGAAATATGTTTTCAAACCTAACTTATAATAGCGTTTCAACTGCAACTTTTTCAATCTTCTCTTCCAACAGCTGTGGATTTACTTCCAATCGTAATTCTGTGTACCACAATTTCCAAACAAGGCATCTCCAAGCACTTTTCTTAGGTAGACCAAAACGAAACCCTTTGGGCCTGACAATAATGACGCTCTCTATCCTCATCTCTGATTCTCTAGTTATGAGCTCTTTCTTCTTTTTACCGAAATGCTGGGGTCTGTACATTCATTCTTTCATATATACAGAATTCTCATCCAAAACAATTTGATCTTTCTAATCCTGGTGTTCAAATTTACTGGTAGATATTTCCCAACATTTCTAAATGTATTTGCAGCCTTTACCGCTCACTCAACTCTATTTGGTCATCTTTCCAAATCTGTTTAACTTTCTATCCAATTCTTTTACAATCTCCGAGCTCTGAAATCCTCATCCATGGTGATTTCAATATCCACAACCTGGCTTTGTCTGCGTATTCTCCTGTTCTTACCAATGCTGCCGATTTCGATGCAGAGCTTTTGCTTGCTACGGTAGAGGATTTAATTCAGCCAGTTACCGAGCCCCGTGGTATTCCTCATTGTGTAGGGGATAAAGCAAATGAGCCTGAACTTGTCCTAACTTAAAGCCTCAACATTTACACCATTCCTCTGATTGATGCAAGTACTGGTAATTCCGACTACTGTTCAGTTACCTTCAAACATCCAGTTCCTTTTCGCTAAGATTCTTCTTTCCCTTTATGCATAGTTTCTCGTTATAGCAAAACTGACTGGGACTGTCTTCAATACCTAATATCTTTGGTCTTCAGGTTTTCAAACGATCTATTTGCTTCTACTCCTATTATCATCAATGGGATTCTCCTGACAAGGTCTTCTCCTAAGTGATTAAATTTACAATGCGCCAAAGCTGTAAAACCCTAAAATCACCGCTTCATGGGCTTTACAGTTTTGGCGCATTGTAAGTTCTGCTCGGGAACACTTTAGGTAGAGGGCAGAGTGATCTCCCTAGAAATCTCTAGGGCCGTTTATCATAGCTGATACAGAGGTATTCTTTTCAAATTCCCAATGTTTGTTTTTCACCTTACCCTTTTCAAGTGGAATTTGCAGTTTTCTCTCTGGTAGGTCAGTTGTCAAATTGGGTTTATGGTTACATCTCCAGTCTTCACTCAATTAATTCTGGTGTTCCATAGGACTCTGTTATATCTCCTATTCTATTTACCTTCTCCATCATTGATCTACTATTTACATTCTTTCGCCTGTACAAGTATTCATTCATCCTCTGATTTATAAAACATTCTGTCATCAACCTTACTGACATCAACTGACGTCAACAGAAAACTCACCTTAGTAATTGGTGATAATTTAAGCCTAAGTGTATCTTTGACTCTTTTCTTGCTTGGTTGTGTAATTTCCTTCTGGCTTGGTTTCCGAAAGTACTCCTAACGTGCACTCAGTTCTCGAGCAGTTTGCTTTGATTCTTGAATTTTCTTCGGAACCTTGAGTATCATTGAGTTTTCTATTAGTATCGTTAACAGGATCTCAGAATTGTCATTATCAAAATGAATAAAGTTTTTCTGTAATTTATTATTTTCTCCTAAAGAAAAACTTGAATGAAGCTACATAAGTTATTTGGCCTTACTCGATTGCGCAATTTTTAACTCATGTTGTTCTTTTCCCTAGGGCTCAGCTTGAAGTCTACATTGAACATGTCCCATTGGAAAACGACCGAAAAGCGGCTAAGGTCCTGCGCCTGTGTGAACAATATGACCTCCTGGAACAAGGTTATCATTTTTAAGGTTTTCGTTAGTGCCCTTCAACTTTGCTCTTCAGCGAAATCGTAAAAAAAATATCGCAAAAATATTTTATGATTTCTTTGTAACACCTTTTCCATTAAAAATATTTTTTCTCTTTTCTTTAACAAGGTAATAAACTGAGAAAGTTTAATGTGTTATAGCTAAAGTACAAATAAGGAGAACTGCTAGTAAGGAAAGTTTCATGGTATAGAAACGATTACAATTTAAAACCTTTGCTGAGTGCCTAGAAAGATGTACAAACATTCTTCTGACAATTTTTTGTCAAGGTCAGATTTTCATCTTGTCAAGATCTAGGATGGAATAATGTATAATCTGCATAACAAAATGCTTGATTGAAGATTAATAGAGGTCAACGCAAGTTTTCTATAAAAGTAAGTCATAGCAAAGGATAACAGGTCCAAGAAATTGATAGTCTCTAAAGGTTGCAAACTAAAACCAAACTGAATATGCAAATTAAGTACTTTGTGTCCATTTGAAGGGGATCTATTCGATGCAAAACATTTCTCTCACAAAAACATTTTCCCATAATGAATAGCTTCACAATAGGTATGATTTTATTTGCAGCCGAGCTCCAAGATCTCCATATATGATACCAGTATAACAAAAACATTGATCTTTGGAGGAACCGACAAGGAGATTTGTGTTGAATCTTCACAATAACAATGTAACGTCTATTATAACGGCTTAATGTGCTAACTGTTCTTGCAGCAAACGGTATTTGCAAAGTAATGGCAATGCGAGCCATGAAACATGGAAGGCTCGGTGCATCATTGACTTGGTGCCTCAGATCTAAAGTAAGCATCTCACCTGATTTTTTTATTAATCTTTTTGAAACTCCTTCACGAAATCTTTTCTCGGCATGAATTCTTCAAGTTGTGACCCCATTACCTACTTGACTCCATTACCTACTTCAATCCATGACACTGAGCTGGCAACAGAGGCACTGTTTCAAACATCTATCATTTGAACTCAGGGTATCTGGGTTTGCTACTCCCATGAAGCATTCTATCTTTAAATCATTCATTTGTTTATTACTTGATAACTTGAAGAGATTAGCAATATGATCGAGATAATGGGTTTGAGGTGTTAAAGAAAAGAAAAAAGTTTGGTTTTCTAATTATTCGCACCTCTTGCTCATAAAATTTGTGAAAGAAATAATATTGGAAATCTTTTTTTCTAGCTACTTGGAATACATAAGGATCTAATAATTTACCTTAGGTACTTAAATTGCCAGATAGATACACAACTCCGTTTTGTTTTTACAAAAACACTTTCCTTCTAGGATTCCGTGTTTGCAAATTTGCTGGCTGAAAAGTATGTACAGGATTTTTTTATTTTGTACTAAACAAAAACTGCAAAAAAACAAAATATTCATACTTACACATAAAAGATCCTCAATGGATAATGGACCCCTCCATTTGATGATTTTTTCCAGCTGAGGTTGCCTATGGCGTTTTATTGAATTGCCACAACAAATTCATACTTTTGGTAGTAATTATTTAAGTGTTCAGAAAGAAATCCCTACTATAATAAACAAGGTCTTTTAAAAATGTCTTATTAATGTCTACAATAATTTTATAAGCCCCCCTCGTATATGCCCCCCTCGAATAAGCCCCCATGCAAAAATATCAAAAATAAATAAGCTCCCAGGGGGCTAATTCGAGGATTTACGGTAGTCTTTTAGAGAGCTGTTGTCACAGCCTTTTTCAATATCCTTTTTTCAATATCCTTTTTTCAACTTCCTTTTTTCGATATCCTTTTGCCACCCGAACATGCTTTCCTGTTACCACCTTATGTTTTCCTGAAAGGATATTCACTCAGTACATGGAGACTGGGACCCTCTCTGATTTGGATATCATCGATAACCTTGGATCTGCGATGTTGCTTAGCGACAAACTGACATTTTTGGGTAAGTTAGTCCATTGGTAGTTTACATTCTGTCTTCTTGTTCAATTACCTTATACCTATTTCCTATCTTTACTGCTGTCGTCTTTGCAACTCGTATTACATTCGAGGATTTGGTATTTTGCAATTAAAACGCTTAAGAAACAGCTTATGTCGAGTTTTGAAAGTTGAGTAACAATTTTTGAAAGATGCTGACCTTTTAACTCTGACTGTATATCAGTAGCAAATAAACAGAAATTTAGTGGTTTTACTTTCGTGCCTCGGTAAAAAGGTTCACAGTCACAGATTTATTATCGTGGTAGTTTATACTCAGTTTATATTTTTTAATTTTTGTTTATTTGGGATTTAAACTGTTCCGCTGAATATTTGCTGATTGAAATGAGTAAATTTCCTCACCAAATACTTATGATGCCAATAAGCGCTGGTGCCATTTTCCCGAGTAAAATAATTAACAGGGAGTCCTTGTCTTTGATATTTCGATAACAAATCCCAACTGTGCTACCTTGCAGTACATTTACGCTATTATTTTTTCTTAATGTTGGTACAAGCCTGAAAGCTAGGCAAGTCTAGCTGCAAGGCACGTTTGTTATCAAATTTTCATACTCTTATTGGTCAATAAGGTATGAAGAATCTTTTGTTTCACCCAAGTAAAGATTCGGAGCCTGTGCTCTATGTTCACCAGTCTTCGATTTGGATATAATTAACCATTTTAATTTAATTGGTCGCGTCGAGGCAAATACATTCTTCTTTGTCGCGAAGTAAATTGTTTTTTGAGATCCGTTTTGGTTTGGTTTTATCTTCGGAATTCATCTGCCAAACTGTGACAAGATTTAATTCAAAGTTATAACCTTAAAATTGGTTATATTGTCACATAATGCAGTTTGTCATTTGTAAAAGGCTCAGAAAATTTACCTCCGGATCTTATTTTGAAGAATATTACTCTTTTGGGAGGAGCATGACTAAACTGTTATTGATGCGAATAAAGAATCGTTTTACTGCTGCAACAGCAACAACGTCCTCAAAGTAGATCACCACAAAAAGACTCACATCTGACAGTGTGCGATAGTCATCTTTAGGAATTTCTGTTTCTTAGAGTATTCACAGTGCCAAATTTCATTCACATTGCAGCTTTTCAATTTCAGAAATCCAAAGATGTTTTGTGCTGCTGTTCTAGCAAAGTTTATCATGATTCCTCGTCATGTTTAGCTCTTTGTTTCTCTTTCAAAGAGAAAGAATTATCAATTTCCTTTTCTACCCGTGACGTAGGAAAGATAAACCAGATTACTAAGTTGACGGAAATGAGATTACTTTCTAGTTATTGCGACCCTCGATATTTCTACAAAGTTCATGGTTCATCGTCAAAGTATTTTGTGTAGAAGAACCAAGCTGTGGTAAATTACTCCAGATTTAAGACCCCACGCCGCTTGCATTTCATAAAAGTAAAAATATCTTATTGGTTGAATGTCCAGTTCTCAGGAGACTGCCATTTTGTCATGGTGGTTATCCTCAGATAAGGAAGATCCTGCCTTCGAAGAAGCAAATCACCACCTCTGTCAGTCCAACACATTCATTCCTAACTTTAGACTCTGCTTTGATAAAACAGCATCAATTCAATATCATTATGATTTTTATTTTAGTTTGGATGTCTTTATCGAGGTCCATAGTTTGGATGTCTTTTTTGGAGGTCTGTAACAGGGGGCATAATGTGCTGACTTCCATGCGTGAAATTTTTACAAGTGCAAAAAGATTCATGTTTTTGAAAATAATGTGGGCTTTAGATGACAAGCAACAGTTTTGTGTTTCATCTCCTGTATCTGACCAATTAATCCTAATTGCAATTTAACAAAAACACTCTACAATTGAATACAATACTAGCACTAAAACTTGAAAATCATATGACTACATTTAGATTAACTGGTAGGAAACCTTCCGCATTAGAAAATTAGAAAATAACTTTACGATGAAATTCAGCAATCAATAGACAGATGAGTGACAAAAAGAAAACGATCTTTAAACTTTTAAGTGACGTGAAGAAAAAGTTATGCAAGAAACCAAATCGAATCAATGCATTAAGACCTGAGACTGTTCTCGATTAAAAAAAGGGTCAAAAGATAAAGCCCTATATAGTAAAACTATTGTTAAAAAAGAGTAAAAGAGGAGTTGTAAAGACAGACGAAAGTATGAACTGGGACACAGTGCACAATCAGCATACAGCCAGGGGCATTACATTTCAACATAGTCATTACATTTCAAGCATACACGTATTTTTTATAAGAAACTAAGGTCCGGGGCTGGTAGGCAGTTTCTTGGATTTTCGATCTACGATCAATATCCAGCAATGATACTTTCTTGAGATGTTGAAGTCAAAACTATCTTTTACATGGAATCTTCTTGAGTATGCTGTCTAATGAGAATTAATGTAATCTGAATGTCAAATGCGGTGTTTACAGTGGTGTTGCAACTGTTTAGAGTGACTGGGAAAATTGAGACCGCAAGTTGCAACAGTTTCTTAGATTTAAAGTTCAGGTTAATTTGTCTCTTGACTTTCCAAAAATTAAGCCTGCCGCTTCTTGAAGGTGCTTTTATAAAAATTACGTGTATTATTTGGTATCGTTCTGGTTAAGAGAAGATTGATTTATGGACTAATTTATTTTATTCTTTATCGATTATATCTTGGCGGCATCCAGTGGTGACATCTGGTGCCATATTTTTCCTGCCTCGTCCGGCCTGCTGACTTTCACATCGAGGCTCACTTGTGCGTTGTAATTTTCTTTAGTTGTATCGCCAATGGTTTGCTGCGTTTTAACAGCCCTTCTTGGAGACACTCGCAAAGTTACCAATTTTGAAACAGTCAATGTGTGTACATCGTGTGGAAGACCGTTCTATTCAGGGTAGGCGGCCTTTACTACCACTTTGAGCAATTGTTTTCCTCGTCTCTGCCTATCATGGTGGCAAAATACACCGAGCACAATTCAGCTTATTTTTTATTATATATGAATGGTTGAAAATGACGAGAAAATGGCAAGAGTCGTTATTCTGCTTTGAATATCTATTTGAAGTTGAAAAGTCTCCTATTATGGTACACTGGTTTCGTCGCAATGTGCTTTTCCTCGTCTGTCTCATGACACAATCTCTACGCAACCTTTGCCCCTTTGGATTTAAAGCTCTTTCTCTGCAGCTCTCTTTCTTCCCATTCTACCCCACAACTCCCCTTTCAGAATAAAAAGGTATTTGCCTTTCCGGTCCTCCCTACTTGCGCCACGAAAGTGACCACATGACGTGAAGAAAGTTTAACTCATTCAAATTTCAAATCGCTTCTTTTTTGAGCTGACATTGCCTGATATTGTAAACGATGTAGGGACAATATGCCTTGATAAGATATTAGAAAAGCTAGAGAGGCGATCACGTAGAAAAAGAAAATGACAGTAATTTTCTACGGAAATGGCGACACAAGGTCAGTTCTAAAATAGACGTTTTCAACATAATGATTTCCTTTGCAGTCGTTGAATGGAATTCAAAGTAGTAATATAAAAAAACTCGCGTGTCTATAAAGTCAGTTTAAAGGGCTGCTTTATTGTGCTCTGTTTTTTCCATTAAGTTTTCATAGGCTATATTTGAGTATATTTTTTGTGGGACCTTGGAAATATCGCGCTTCTCACTTGAACCATTGCTGCAGAAAAGAATTATGTCTGTTTTATGGACAATATTTCTTCGCCCTGGTAACGCTACGCCACTGGGGTGGAGGCTGGGGGCTTGGTCTGCTACCCCGAATTCACGTTGTTTCGCTGTGTTTGATCAGAATTGCAATTGTCAGTTTCCCCTCAGATAAATGAAAATCCTTTATTCTATCCGTGTCTTACATCTCAAATCAATCTACTCACTCCTTACACAAATTATTTACCCAAAACAAATTTAATTAATTATGCACAATAAAAGTGTCAATTTACCTGATGATGAAACTGTCGCTTTTCGTCATTCATAATTTTCCTTGAAAATGGTTCAGCTTTTACTTATTCTTTTGTAACTGGGTATTAGTATCGTGTACCTTAATTGATAAAATTCGAAAATTGACCGTGCAACAGGCACTACAGTCAGAGTGGTATATTAATACCCTCATTCACGGAGTATTCTTTGTTTCTTCATGATGTCAAATGTAAAGGACACTTTCATGAAAAGGGTACTTTATCCCAGAGCTGTGTTTAATGACCGTTTGAAGATTCTGGTGTTGTTGTAGTTAAGTGTACTGTATTTGTAGGCTTTTCTCGTAGTCTTTGAACGTGTGGCCACCATGTTTGCTGGGGACTGCATGTAGAAGGGCTCTTAGGTTTTCATTTGGCAAATTTCTTTCAGCAGAGCCTGATATCGGTTGGCTCAAGTCTTGCAACCCGGCTTATCTTTGGGTTGTGAATAGCACGTTATCGTCTGACGCGTAATATTGTTCGCAGTACTGCTTGTCTGTAGTGGATTGCGGTATGGTGCATTGAAAATCCTTTTTTGTGGTTTGCTGCGATGATAAATATTAAACTTTGACTCCTTCAGTTCTCGTCTTGGATTCATAGTGATTGGGTATGTCACCGCCCTCCACCCCCCCCTTCTTGAAATTCAATCTTTTGTTGCTATGGCGAGCAATTATCGAAGGAACGTGTTGCTGTTTTCAGCGCATGCGTAATACCTCTGAAAGCTGGTTAAAATATCAACAGAATGGTTTACCACTCGCATTGGAAGACAAAAACCCAACAACGTTAATTTCAGCACAAAGTTCATAATTCTAGCAAAGTGGGTGCATTCTTTTTACCACAAGTTAGTAACAAAAATCTTGTCTTGTTTATCAAAGCGACCAAAATTTACAAGATACGAAGTGAAATTTTAATATTTATAACTACAATGAAGCTAAAATGAATAAAAATTTGATAAAAACGAGAAAACAAATGTGACAAAGTACCAAAGAAAAAATTTATCTTGCACGGAAACATTGAAGCGTGTTATCTTTATTTTTGCTCTACA